ATATATATATATATATATATATATATATATATATATATATATAACAATTAATTGATATTAAAAAATTAGAAAGAATATCGACCAAAAATAATATAATCAGTATGAATATATGCTTTTAATTTTATTATTTTATTATTATTATTAAACTTCTTCTATCAACTTACATGCTCAGGAAAAATAAAACTTTTTTTTCATATGAAAATTGAACCATAGATAGTTATACCTAATCAGGGTAAAAATATAATTTAAAGAAAAATTGAAAAAAAGGTATAGAGTATGCGAAGGTATTAATTCATGAGAAACTAAAAGTGTTTTTTTTTTTATTATTATTAATTTTGATAATATTGATAGATTGGTAAAGTTTTAATCATCTATGTGTGTTAGGGTGCAAGAGTGTTTTAGTTCAATAATATCTTTAAATTTTTACATGTTATAAAATAATTTCATAATTAAATTAACTAAATTGTAAGCATTATTTTTTATTATTACAATTATTTTTTTTATTATTTTGGGTTTGTTGTCCTCTATTCTTCCTTATTGAGATTATTCTTTTCAACTCACATATTTGTCCTTTCTTAAATTTTATATACTTTTAAGTCTCAGATGTATTTTGTTTTAAAATCTGAACAGGTATTCAAATTTAATGACATAAGCATCTATAATCGTGTTAATTTTAGGAACTCAATCTCCTTGATAAACTTTGCATTATTTGTATCCACTAAAATTATGTTTCTCTTAATAATAAATTTGTAGCAAAAGAAAGCTTTTTATTTTCAAGAGGTGGTGGTCTTAAAATTCTTGAGACATTATCACTGAATTTAGAAGGGTTATCTCTTATGAATTTAACTTGTACCAATTATTTTATAAGTTAACTGAGGAAGGTATTGTTGTAGTTGTTTTAACGGTTTCCTACTACTCCACAAAAAAAGACTTTATGATAATGTGTCATATTAGCATTCTAGTGATGGATGACATTAATCATTGTCTTGTATATTTAATATTAATAGATTTTAGGTTATCCATACATTATTCTTTTCTCATTCAACTATAAAACAACATTATTTTAATAATTTCATATTTTTTCTAGAAATTTTCACATGAGTTATAATTTACAGGAGACTTTACTATTTTGGAGCTTGAACGGGAATTTGATTAACCCAATTCTCTCTTCTCAAATATCATCTTGCTTGAGTAAAGATTCATCTAAAGTCACCTCTCCCAGAGGTCTCATTACTGAAATAAAAATACTTACTTTATAAAAAAATTATACAAATAACAACTCTACACACCTTACAAAAATCTCTACTCCAACCCAAAATTAAATAAATCACTCAATTCTACGCGTATTTAATGAACAAATCACCACAATACATTTAGACAAACTATTCTATCCTTCCCTTAATTTAAGTTTTTCTCACTAGGAATTTTTCCAAAATTCTCAATTTAAAACGTATATAATCTCCAAATTTTTGTTCTAACGGATTAAGTCAAGAAGATGGTAGGTTAGTAAAATTTCCTTCTTAGCTAAAAATCAACAAAGAATACAACTTATAAATTACCTGCTATTCTCAGCCCATGCAACCCATCTAAAAAAAAGAAAAAAAAAACTTATCCTTATAAAGATTATGGTATCTTAGAGGTATTCTTTTATTCCAAGGAATAAAGTTTGAAAATATTTTTTTTATATTTAAACCATATTTAATTAAAATGTAAAAAAAATTACTTTATTTAATCAGCAGTTTTTTTTTTAAATTACTAAAGTGTACATTTTTATAATTATTATTTAATTTATTAAATAATTATTAAATTTTGATATTTATTTAGAGATTTTATATATGTATAGTTTAGTTTGCGTTATATATATATATATATATATATATATATATATATATATATATATATATATATATATATATATTAAAAGATAATAATTCAAGTGTACTTTTTTTTATTATATCAATATTTATATTAACAAAAATTTTATTATTATAAATACTTTCAGTAAATTATTTATACTCTTTTATATATAATCTAAAGAAACATGTATAAATATTATATTTTATTAAAATTGACAAATTTATACAAAGTAATAAAAAAACTAAAAAATCAAACAGACAAAATTTAAAATTTCTTAAAAGTTTGCCTAATATCCTCCACAAATTTGATTTTCAAAGTAAAAATATTAAACCTAAATTTAAAAGATTAATTCTATTTTTAAAATTTTATACCAAATAATTTTAAAATAAACATAAAAATCATCCAAATTAAATAAGATAATATCTGTTTTTAAAAATAAAAGTTAAATTATAATAAATATGATATAATAAGATATTTGTACTAATTTTTAGTTAAGTTTATTAGTTAAAAAAATAATGCAAGAATACTCAATAGTAAGTTATATTATTTATTTAAATAATTTAATTTTTAAAATTTAAAAATAATATCTCATATTTAATCATATATTTTTAATTATTATATAAAAATATATAAAATTATTTATACTACAGTTTTTAAATAATTTTTACAATTTCATATTATTTATAAATTATTAAAAAATAAATTATAAATATATAAATTATTTTTAACTTTAATTTATTTATATCTAATTTATTAAATAATTAATTCACATTAATTATATTATTTTTATTAAAAATGTAAAAATTATTTAGTTATATATTAATTTATTTTATTATTTAATTTTATTAATAAATTAAATAAAATTTATTCATTATTATTTATTTATTTTTGTTTTTTTTCTCTTAATCTAAAAAAATTACTTTTAATTCTCATTCTTTTATTTTTTTTAATCATTTAAATTCACATCTCAATTCAAGAACAATCTACGTATAACTTTTATTACTTTCTTATCCATTAAAAATAGATAAGTTAGATGGAGTTATTATAATAAAAATAGATTATCTTAACTTATCTCATTAAAAAACTCCGGGATCAGCACTCAATTCATAAAATATATATATAAAAAAAGTTATATAAGTTTAAAAAATCTTAATTATTAATTATATAAATATTTTTTAAATTTTTATTAAATAAATTAAAAAATTTATTATGTATATTATTATAACTGATAACTAAATTAAATTTAAATTATATTATATGATAATAATATAAAAAATATAAATATTTTAAATTATAATTTGTTTTTTTTTTTATTTTAACTGATAAAGGGACTAAACCAACCTACCAATCTAGCCCATTTTGTAACCCCGGATTTTATTCATAGTTTCATCCTTAAATATTACCGATTAGGTTCCGTTAACACAAATTTTAAGGATTAGTTTCCTATTAGAATCTTGTACATGTAAATTAATCTTGCTTATATCTCCTGTGTTGTTTTCTTCAAAATTCACAGGATACTCTGCTTCTTTCACCATACACTAACCTCTAACACTGGGTCCCCCTTCTAAGAAAGTTTTTTTAAAAAGGGCAGATATAAGCTATCAACATCGAATAATTTGGTGTACAATGTTATATGATTTTGCCCTTAAAACTTGAGCAAAGCTCAATATATTGTGAAATAATGTTCATAAATTGAGTGCCACAGTTGCAGTCCACTTGCCTTGCAGTGTTATGATCAATGCACTTTCACTGCCTAACGATCTTGATAGTAATTTGCTAGAATTAGGGATTATGTAGAGATACGCATCAGGGAAGGCCACATCAGTGTCAACAGCTTAGACAATAATAAAGAAGACAGTGATGTTGTCTCAACCAGAAGATTCAATAATTTATAGCCATGGATGCATGCCTCTTAGTGAGATGGTGTCTCCTGGAGGTTTTAATGATGGATACAGAAATTTAATTTGAAGACTTTGTGATGGTTAAGTCCGTGGATTGCCACCAGTGATGTTTCAATGGGGATATTGACTTTGCTTTCACCTACTACTTGTTCCAATAATGACTGAGGATTTGTGTGATTCATGATAATTTTGATTTAAAGTTTTGGGGTTTATGTCTGGTTAAACATAGAGGATGTGTTTTGCTGTTGGTTAAACTTTTAGTTTAGTTGAGACAAAGGGTGTGGAAAATGAGAAAAGAAAAGAAAGAGAAATAAAGTGTCTTATTTTAAAAATTAAAGAGGATTCAATATAAAAAGAAAAATAGTACATGGTGTATTAATAACATTGTTTTTCTTCAAATGGTGACATAATCAATTATAATTGATTAAGTTATATCTCTGACAAAGCCTGAAGGAATCACATGAAATTACAGTACTAATTACAATTAAGATTTAGACAGATTATCTTTTCACACTTTTCATTTCAGATAAGTATAACTTGCAGTGACGTTCAAGTCAATCAGCTCATTTTTTGGTACATGAACAGATGCAATGGCGCAAAACCTTCAACCATGTCTTCTTCCACTTGCACAATATCAATTATGGAAGCAAATAATGGCTTAAGTGATTAGTGTGGTAGGTGGGGAAATAAAAGATGGCAATTGTGATTTTATGTCAGTATTTTACATATCAATCCTGTTTGAACAAGATAGTGGTAGCGATACATTAGATTTTAAATAAGCTACAAACTTTATTTTCTACCCTGAAGTTTAAAGTTGCCACCTTTGCAAGCACAAGTTTAGACATGCGGATACTTTTTAATCCTGGATATGGAACACAGGTACTTAAATATAAAGGCTAGACACATAGATGCGTATCATTGTAGAAAACAACCATTTATAATGATGACCTTTTCAGACCTCAAATATCTCTAGATCACAGCACCTGTAAGGCGAAAAGCCAAATCGCATATGCTAAGGAATGAAAAGATAAAAGAATACAAGGAATACTCTAAATATTAATCATAATATGCATAAATAAATTACTACATTATACTATTTTTTCTCCCAAAAGGCATATCCTAAAGCCAAATAGTTTCTATTTTCAACCAAATCTTCTCAAATCATTTTAAGATGAATCAAAGCCAACTGAACTTATTAACTTACGATGATGATAATCATATGAATATGCAAGAAGAGGTCATCTATTTGATTCCAATTGCTGCAGGGTCAGTACCGGGCTTTGCACCAATAGCAAAAAACTCAGTAATAACTTCTAAAGGCATGCCTTTTGTTTCAGGAACTTTCAAGTAGACAAATATCCATGAAATGATGCAGCCAGCAACAAATAATCCAAAGACACCACTGAGACCGAGAAGCTGGAGCAAGCTGGGGAATGTTAAGGTGATAATCAAGGTACAACTCCAATATGTAAGAGAAGTCAGGGAAATGCAGATTCCACGAACACTTGTTGGGAAGATTTCAGCACATATGATATTGGGAATAACGCCAAAGCCCATGCAGAAGACGCTTCCATAAGCCACAACAGAAACAGAAGTGATTGCAGCATTGATGACAGAATTTAGTTCAAAATACTGTTTGATTATTAGTACCAGGAGACAAACTATCACAATGGGTAATGTGTACAACATGATTGACCTGCCATGAGAAAATATATAATGTAATTGTCAACAATATCATCTTTTGTTTTATGAGATAGATAGGTATGCATAGACAAGTTCATGGGATAATTTTTCTGGGACCAACAGTTCAGCAAATCTTGGGACACTGTCTACATTACAAAAAGCAGTCCTATCAAATACCAACGACAATAGTACAACAATGTAGCAAAAGAAGAATGAAACAATTGTGACTGTAGAAACTGAACAAAATTGTTGTGATTACAATGCTGTAAAATTGCTACGGTTCCATACATGAAACAGAAACATGATAACATGAAATTTACGCCAAGTCATAGAATGAACATACCTCCTGCCAGAAATATCCATGAGTCTTATTGCAAGAGCTATACAAGGAAGCATGCAGAATGTTGTAATGACATTTACAAGAAAAGAAGCAGATGCTGAACTAAGGCCCAAATTTGATAAAAGAGCCCCTATTTCTGCCTGCTCAAGAATCTGGGGTGCATAGAACAGAATCCCATTTATGCCAGCAGCCTGCAATGCATATTATATTTTCAGAATCACAAAGGACGCTAGAGTTTACGTGCAGGTTTTCATAGTGAATATCATCTGCTTCAACTAATTTTAAATTGCTAGGAAAAGAACTCCTAGAAGCATTATGTACTTACATATATGCCAGAATTTCGTCAAAATTATTAGAAAGACGAGATGAGGAAAGGAATGAATGGAGAATATACTAATAGTGCAAACAATTAAAGGCTTGTTTAGTTTGAGAAAACATTTTCTGTTTCTATTTCCTGATTTCAGTAATAGTTAACAAAAACTCGATGCGGTTTCATTTTGTTTTGTTTTCAAAAGATTTGCACACAAAATGATAGCGTTATTTATTAGTGCAAACCAAAACCTGATAGGGGGATCGTTTTCTTAAACCGAACAACTCCTAAGATCCTCAAGGCATTATTGTGTAGAGTAACTTCAAAGTGAGAAAGGATTGTAATTTTGTATGTTAAAAGATAGCATAGGATATTAGGATATACACCTCACAACCTAGAGATAAAGTGCACACAATAATTCAATCGGAGAGGACTGTAATAGAGAAATGATCAAATGAAACACCCTCATACTAAACCTATAATTAAATACCTTCACGATTATTGATCCTCTTTACCTTGATGATGTTGAGATAAAATATAGTACAACAGAGGGTAAAGAACAACTTCCTCGCGGGTACTGGTTTTCATGACAATTCTAAAATCAATAACCATTTAACTTTAAGATGAAATGCAAGGGATATCAATCATTACACGACACAATATGATCCACTGACGTAATACTACTACAACCACTAAAATTGTACCTGCTGAAGAATTTGAAGTCCTATGCCAACAATCAATGCACGCTTGACTCCTGGTTCTAGCAGAGCTCTCCATTTTGAGCCTTTCGCAGCAACTTCTGGCAGATGCAACAAATCATGAGTTCCAAGAACTGACTGACTGACAAGAGCAGCAGCATGATACGCTTCACCGCCATCTATTGGTATGTCATAGCCAGAAGTTGAAACAAATGACGAAACATGTTGAGATTGAGACACTGCAGCAGGTTCTGCATGCAAATAAACCCTTTGGAGTCCTTCTCTTTTCCCACCCCCAACACCATCAGCTGATTTATAAACCAACTGCCAACCTCCACCAATGTTTGTATTTTTAGGAGTTTCAACAGCAGTACCATGAGCCAAACTACTATTACTTCTTAGGCTGCTATTGCTCCTCATACCTAACATGTCCTTGGATCCACCACCCCCTTGAAATGACATTAGTGGCGCATGCAGGTTGTCACTGGTATCAAAGGGACTGGACTCTGGCTCACCCGTGCTAAAGATGCTGTTGGCATTATGAATTAGCATGCTGCGTGAACCTCCACCCTCGGGGAGAGTATTCTCATGCATACTTCCAAAGAGAGTGACAATAGGATCCTTAAGACCAGTACTAGTGAGACCTCCAAAGCTTCCTTGCTGAGACAACATACTACGGGATATCAAGCTACCCTGTCCATTCACTGGTTGAGCAACCATTGTAACCCCCTCATTGGGACCATATAACTTGATATAATCTTTCCCTGCTTCCTGGTTAACAAGAATCTCACTAGCTGGGGCAACTACATACTCTTCTATGGAAGTGGCTTCACCGCCAGGGCTGAGACCCTCAGTCAGCAACGCCAATTCCCCTACACATTAACTCCCAATTAGTACAAACAAATGATGATACTTCGAAAAATGAAAAACTACACTAAGTGCATATTCATTATCACCTGAAACATCATCAGTGCCGCGAAGCCTTTTCAGAACTCTTTCAGCCTCAGGTAGCCGGCCTTTGCTCACAAGCCACCTCGGAGACTCAGGCAGATAAAACACAGCCAGTAAAAAGTATGCAACAGAAGGAATTGAAATAACTCCAAGCATTAGTCTCCAATTAGGTGAGACAGTCAAGGACATTGAGAATACCAAAATGTAAGCCAAAAACATTCCAGCAGAACAAGCAAACTGAGGAAAAGTGTTCAATTGGCCTCTTATATCGGCCGGTGCTACCTCAGATATGTAGAGAGGATTAAGAGTAACAGCCAGAGCAATGGCAACCCCATCCACTATCCTCGCCACCAGAATAACAACAACATTAGGAGTCCACAACATTATCAAACCGCTAAGGAAAAACATAACCGAAGATGTTATCAGCATAGGGCGTCTTCCAACCATATCAGACACTACCCCAGAGAATATTGTCACAACAGTACCGGTTATAAACGACATGGACACAATTAGCCCTTCAAGTGTCGCATCCAAGACGAAATCCTTCTTGATGTAGGTTATACCCGCTGCAACAGAGTACCAACATGTTCGTTCAATTTCAGCAATGAGATCTAACACACCCTTTTGTAATTCCTATTCTTATTATTTTAAATTTGGGTAATCATTTTTAGACTCATGCTCCCGAATCATAATTCTAGAAATAAAAACCGTATATGAGAAAATAAATAATCACCTAAAATTTTTATCATAATTTCATACATGACGTTGAAATTTTCAGCACAACGCACATGTACTACTGAAAAGCATGCATATACAGCAAAACACAAACCTGCAATAGTCGAACTATCCCATCCCATTAGAAGATTCCCAAGTGTAGCAGCAACTGCAACGATCACAACCTCCATCATTTTTTTTCTTTTAATCTCCTTGCCCGAGAAAAAAAAAAATCCAAACTCTGAACTCAATCACTTCAACTCAAGCTGAAAGCTTTGTAATAACTCTTCTCAGATCTTCATTCTGAATGTGCAAATGTAGAGTTGATTGACACAGAGTGTTTTAAAGAGTAGAGTTCAAAGAATGGAACTGTACACCTCGGACAGTTTGTTCGGATGAGAACAGTTTGCATCAATATGTCGGAAACTTTTTTTGCTTCTATTTTTTCAAAATCTTAACTGTACAAGGAAAGCTTTCATATTATAATTATATTTTTCCCTTTTACCTCTCCTTTATTACAAATCACATCTAATTAATTTTATTAATGATTTTCTTAACATATTTTAATAAAAAAACACATATAATCATATTATTTAATAAAGGTAAATAAAGAAATTGATTCATATTTCATTAAAAAAAAATACATTAAAAAGATAATCTATTTTTTTCTAAAACATGTTGAGCGTATTATTTATGATCACATGATAAACAAAATATTAATGATTAATTAAAAAGTCAAAAGGAATGACACCACCCCATAATTTTATAATATTAGACTTCGTAACAACCACATGAGATTGGTGCACTGTGGAGTAGCCACGGTTGCACCTGAATGAATATAGTGATATCTGGAGAATACATTAATCTACCTCGTAATCACTTTCTAATAACTTATCAGATCCAAGACTATCCTAGGTTAAGATGAACCATAAAAGTAGAAGAGAATTATAAAATGTTATTAATTAGAAATATATAATAAATGTCTCACTTTTTTATGGTAAAAAAATAATTTTGATTTATTTCTATTTAAAATAGATAATCTGTTGACGAATAAGTCATCTGCATTGTACATTGCTTCTCCCCCACGTCTTTGTAATTGGTTATTATTTGATGTCTTTCATTTAAATTATTAATTACGTGTCCATCGAATAATTCGATATGATTTCGATTTTTGTTTTAAAAAAAGGAAACTAAAAATGGAAGATATTTTATTACTAGTTACAATCAATGGAAATCTGTTGAGACGGTAATATTATCCAACCACGTGTTTTTCACAATTGTATAAAAAATCTCACGCAAATTTATTAATTGTTAAATGGAAGAAGAGAAGAAAAATAGAACAATCTTGGTTTTGTTTTTATTTCCTATTCAAGCATTATTTATACGTCATGATAAGCACGTTTCAGATTACGTATGGATTTTCATTTCCCCTTTCTCACTAAATTGTTTTTTTTAGTACATTCTTTCTTAATCAAACCGTCCCTCTGTCACCATTAAATTAGATTTCAACCCCCACTTTTCATTAAGTCAAGCTATATCTTGATTTTTTAGGTCGGATTTTTAAATTTCAACCTTTACAATATTTAAAATTAAAATACATGTTTGTTCTAATTTTGAACCTAAAATCTGTTTTTGTCAAAAATAAAATCTAAAGTAAATGGATATGTTGGCACGTAAATTACGTTTAGTCAATGTGACACGTGTAACGTTTCAGATCGCTTGATATTATGATTTTCAAATTGTTGGCACGTAACCAATGCTTAGTCAACATGTCACGTGTAACATCTCAGATGGATAATAAGACAGGCTCATAGTTTTTAAAAATAGTTTTAAATTTTAAAAATAATTTTTATTTTTTTATTTTTAAAGACTAAAACCTTATATAATATTTATTTCCTTACAATTTTTTTAAAATTTATTTTAGATTTTATTTTTTTAAAAACTATAAATTAAAATTAATAAAAAAATATTTTTCGCTTTTATTAAAACAACATCATTTAGTTTTATTATCATAAAATTATTTTTTAACGTTTTACTTCTTTTTTATTTAATTCATTTTTTTATTTGAAATCATTTAAAAAAATTATAAAACTTTTTTTTCAAAAACAGTTTCTTAAAACTAATCTTTAAATTTATTTTTAAAAGCTTAAAAACAAAACTAAATCAAACAAATCTTATTTTCACTTTTAACCGTGTTAAAAAATTACTTTTAATTTTATAATTTAAAAAAAAATAGTTCTTATAATATTCAAGGTTTATTTTCAATTTTAGTAAAATTCAAATTTTTTGAAATAAGTTATAATAAGATTTGGAATTCTGATTTTAGTTCTAATTGTTTTTTAAAATCATATATTAAGTAACAATATTTATCAATTAATAATATGATTGATAGTGTGGAATATGTTCCAAAAATTTTAGATTTAAATGATTTTCTAGCTATATTTTAAACTAATAAAATAACTTATAATTGTCTATCACCATTATCTTATGTATGATTTTACATATGAGGTGGCTATTATATCAAAATTTTATGTGCTTTATAAGATCGAAACATGTGGTATTTATTTAAGCCATAGTATTATTGTTAGTGAAGAAGTGTGTGGATTTGGAAGAAAAGAGGAATTTTGGATTAGGTTATTATAGCTTATGAAAATATGAATGGATTTATCATATAAATTATTTGTCTTTAATTTAGATAAGATTTGGTTGGAAGCCTAGCTATTATTCTTAATAGAGTAATTGCTTGTAGCTATTACCCTAGCTAGAGGTTTATAATATGACCCAATTATAATGTGATAAGTACTTATGTAACAACTTCTTACAAATGCGTAGATTATTGGCATATTATCTTATTCACGACTTAATTTTTTTTATTAAAGTTTATTATCGTAATTATAAAAATTAAATGAATAATGTTTTATATATTTTTTATTTGTTTGTAATACAGTATTCTTTGTTTGCATTTTATTTTGTTTTCTTTTTTTTCTTCGGCATGCTGGCTGCTTACTCACATGGTGGCTAATATGATAGATAACCCACTGTCAGCCTTAAACTGTTAGGAAAATGATACTTTCACAACCCAAATTCATACCATTTTTATAAACAATTATCTTTTAATATTATAATAATAATTTTACTTTATTTTTAAACCCTGATGGCACTGACGACGCGCCCAATCCCACTAAAACCTCGTCCAGCGAGATGGTCACCTTGCACAGGCATTGTTCGATGGAATGCTCACGAAGGAAACTCATCATATCCGTCTAATGTCGTTACCAAGCAAAAAAATTATGTTTAGATTTATTAAATGATATGAAGAATTTCATAAAAACATTTTTAATATATATGACTTTATATGGATCCAAAGCATTACTTTCTTTTTATATATATATATATATGTTTGTAGATATATTTTAGCTAATTTATTGTATACTAACCATAGCCTTTAGCAAACCAAGAGTTAATACATTATGCTTAGAGATAATGAAGAGACTACAGTGAACCTTCTTGGAGTTTCCAGTGAGTGATGCTTGGTGTCTAAAATGTTATCGAGATAGGACTTCCGACAACATTTTTTCCATTTGACCATTCCAAATGGCCAAAACCAAAACCACTTGACGGGGGTGGACCTGATGCTGTAAATGTCACTGTATATGACTTCTTCTCATCTTGCTTGAAGCTCAACACGTTTGGCTCAACTTGGATTTTGACAGATGGGATATCTGACGTAACTGATACTTTGTACGTTCCTGCAGGCCCCACATTGGTAAGAGTCCGTCTGTGTTTAACAATTCTTGCTCGTTTACCACCTTTTGTTGGTTTATAAACAACACTGAATGAAGGGTAATTTAGGTCGGTGACAGAGTAGTGTTTGTGTGCATTGCACTGGTACTTCCTCCTTGTCACAGTCTCAATACTTTTGGGTGTGTATTTCAAGGCACAAAGGAAGTCGAGATAATCATTCACCTTCAAATCATAGACAAGTCCTGGATTAAGCGCAGCAATAGGGTTCACATGACCGGCCCCAATAGCAAACGGTGTGGACGAATTCTTTGTGGCACTATCTATTATCTTTTTACCATCGGTGTAGGTGGAATAAGCTGTGGTCATTAATGCAGATCGAATTGCAGCTGGGCTCCAATTTGGATGAACTGACTTAATCAAAGCTGCTAAACCACTGAGGTGAGGGCATGACATGGACGTGCCTGAGATGATGTTGAAGTCTACATGTCTTCTATCTTGATCTAAATCAGAGGGACCTCTAAACCCTGTCCATGCTGCTAAAATGTTGACACCTGGTGCAATTAAGTCAGGTTTCAATATCTCTGGTGTAATTTGATTTGGGCCACGAGAGCTAAACTCTGCAACCATCGGCGACGGCTTAATTCCAACCTTCGTTCCCTGAGACACAATCCTAGCCACAGGCTTAGGATGAAACCACAGGTACTTTTGGATGTCATCTATAGCTTCTATACCCACGATAGCTGTTGGCAAAAAATGGGCTTGTACCGCTAGTTCCTCTCCATCTTCTACTCTATGCACCATCCCCACACCGCCCAAAGATTTCACCACAAACCCTTTCTCTACTGCAGAAGTATTTCCCTGTTCACAGAACACAATTTTCCCTTTAACCTTTTTTGGATCTAAGCAGTTCATTAGACACATTTCCCCACCTTCTTTCAAGCTTGCATTCCTTGCGTGTATGAATGGAGTGGGATCGAGCAAAGACTTGCCACTATAAATGGACATACCAGAATAAATATGCCCGTTCCCAAGGGCAACATACGCTGGAAAATCACGATCGAGTGTGCCAGCTCCCACAGTGATAACCCAAGGTGCTGTATTGTAGTTGATAGAAGAGGGTCTGGGACCACTGTTTCCTGCAGAACAAGAAACTACAATCCCATGATCCAACGCTGCAAAGGATCCAATTGCAATGCCATCTCTGTCGTAATTGCCTGCTCCACCTCCAAGTGATATTGAAAGGACGTCAACGTTGTCTGAGATGACTGCATCTATGGCAGCAACTATATCAGAAGTAGCACAACCCATTGGCCAACAAACCTTGTACGCGGCGATTCTAGCATGTAAGGCCATTCCACGTGCTATACCAGAAGCGTACCCGAATAGATTTGCACCTTCCACTGCAGCCCCTGCAGCTGTGCCTGCAGTGTGGGTGCCGTGGCCGTCAGTGTCTCGCGGTGATTTGGTTCCATCAATGGGACCCCCCAAGGCCTCGTACCCTTTTGAAAAGGATCTAGCTCCTATCAGCTTTTTATTGCAGTTTGAGGCGTTAAAATCAGCACTTGATTCACATTGTCCTTTCCATTTGCTGGGGATGGGTCCAAGTCCGGCATCATCAAAGCTCTTGCTTTCGGGCCAAATACCAGTGTCGAGGATTCCTATAATAACGTCACTTCCTCCATTTGACTCAAGGACCTTGTCAGCCCTTTTGTCAAGACCAAGGAAATGTGGTGATCGAGTTGTCAATGGCGTGTATATTTTCTCTGGTAGCACCTCTAGAATGTCAGCTCGACTTCTTAGTAACTGAACCTCTTCTTTTGTTAATCTAGCTGAGAATCCATGGATCGCCTTCTCATAGGTGTAGAGCGTTTCTTCGGAGGTAGATATTGACTTCAAAATTGACTTGTACCAATTTGAATGGTGATTGAAGATTATTGGCATTTCAGATTTCGCCACATGGACTATGTAAGTACTTTTCTGATTATCTATCCTCTCCACCGTTGCCAGAGATACATCACGTTGGACTAAAAGCAAAACAAAAAGAGTTGCAGCAAAAAGATTCAAATACATGTTCATGCTGAACAATGTTTTGCAACAAGATTATGAAAGCAATGTGACAGAGAACTTGACTTAATACAGAGATATTTTTAATGCAATGTAATTGTTATAAATGAAGTGTGAGAAAACACACTGACTGAGAAAAGAAATAAATTATTGCATTGATTGTGGTACAAAAGAAAAGATCAAACTTTATGCATCCAACAGAGGACATTTTGATTAACCCATGCTTGAGTATTTTTGTTTTGATTTTGCTTTGTTTCCAACCTACAACGCTTGGTTGAAAAAAAAAAAAAGATCATAACGAGTAAAAGAATAATTTAAATTGTAAATATATAAGTAAATATATTAAATGTTAATTAAGTTTAAGGGTCAAAATCATAAAGTTATAAAACTTTGGGGAGTCATGATCTCTTAACTCCCAAGAAGATCCGCAAGTAAATATATACAATTGACATTTATAACTTTATAAAATTTATTATAAAAGTCTTTAAACAAAATAGAGTATTCATTAAGCATTTATTATTAAAAAAATAAGAGTAATTTTGCAAAAAAAAATTTATTGATCAAATAAAATATTAATGATAACAGTAACAAGTTTTTTTTTTAAGTTGATCTATAATTTCACTTGAATTCAAATTAAATGTTTAGAAAAAATAAAACATTAATAGTTTTTAAACCATTTAACGTTCAAATTAAACACAAATGATAACATTAAATGTTAAGTTAATATTTATTATGATTCAATAATTATAAAGATTCAATGCAAAACTTCGTTTTTTTTTTAAGTCAACCATCGATCATATTACATTTATCTGAAATTTGATATTACGAAATGGTTTAAAAAAAATGACGAAGTAGTTAAAAATAGTAGATTGAAATATGATAACATGAGTCTTTTTGAAAAATAAAATATTTAAATGATTCATAAATAATATAATTTAATATATTATATAAGAAAAAAATATTATATAATAAATTCGAGATGATATAAATATATAGTTATGTTATAATTCTTATAATAAAAAATTAAATATTTATTTTAAAATATTTTTTAATAATTAAAAAATACCTATAACTAATTATCATAATTCAACCTAATTATAATTAGATTAAATTATTAAATAAAATATATTTAAAATATAAAGTTTTGATATTTTTTAAATTAAATGAATAATTATTTATTATGATAAAATAATTTTAAATTAATTATTTATGTCATCGTAAATAAAAATTATTTATTATTAAAATAAATAAAATTAGTTATTATTATCATAATTTTAATTATTTAGTTAATATTTTTTAATTTCAATATTGTTTTTTAAATGTTTGTTTTAATATATTTATATTAAATTTTAATATAGTAGTTTAACTAGGAAAATAGGAGGGAGTTGAAGAGAAAAACAAGAGAGGTAAAATAGAAAAATAAGAAGTGAACAAGAAAAGAAAAATTAATTACATATAAACATGAAAAATGTCTATTTAGATAAATAAATTCATATTATTTTATTTTAGTATTTTTTTAATATATTATTCTTAAGATTTATTCTCATTTTCATAATGGAAATTATAAAAATTAAATATTAATGATTAAGAAATCTTCAAAAGTCCATCTAAGATAAATTGTTAATATATATATATATATATATATATTAAATATTAATATAATAATAATTTATTTAAATAAAGATAATTTTATAAAATAATAATTTTCTTACACTATTCATTTTTTATTCATATATAAATTAAAAATAAATATGTATATTATACCATAATGACATTTTTTTCTTTATTAGTTTTTTATTGAACAAGATAAATATGTTCTTTCATTTCTTTACCTTGGTTACTCTTCACTCTAGATTTTCATTGCAAATGAGCATAACCTTATATAATAATTATAACTATCCATTACGATGTAGAAATGTATCACTCAAATCTATTAATTATCAATATAATTTACTAATTATTAATCTTATCAATAACTCACTATTACAGTAATCTATATTTTACATTGAAATTTCTATATTGGTTCTTAAAGAACCGATGTAGAAAGTGATGCGAGTAGTAATTTTAATTTTTTTTTAAGATTTTCTACATCGGTTCCTAGATGAACTGATGTGGAAAGTATTTTTATTTTAAAAAAATAATTAATAAAAATTTTAGACAGACTTTCTACATCTGTCTCTCTTACAAACTTGTCTCCCCCTAGGAACCTCCATTTTCATCAATTCTTCCCTTGCTCCTCATTTCTAGTCATTACCAATACTCAACCTCCCAAATCCATTCTCCTGCCCCTTACAGGCACCATATCAATTGTCCACCGCAAGCCGGTCACGCTCAGCTTAACCATCGAACCCAACTCCATCACTTCCAGTTATCCCCTCATCAAAACCTTCTACGCCTACTCCCCTGCTCCATCGTAGTCGCAAAAACCACCGTCCCTCCAATTTCCTTCCCCCAATTGAATCCCTAACCTCCTCCGTTTTCCTTCACTCATCCTTGTGTCCCTCACTCTGCGAACCAAACTCCAGTGAATCAACCTCCATCGCCAAAGTTGGAATTGGTGCACCCTTAATCATAATTAGATTAATGTATAATAATTTGTTAACTTAAATAATTTTAAAAATAAATATTTAAGTATTTTTAATATAAGAATTTTAATTAAATAATAGAAGAAAAAAGCTAAAAAGAATAAATTAAAATAAAATAAAAATAAATAAAGAAAAAATTTATTTTATATCATTATATAAATAAATGATAAATATTATATTCTGTCATTAAATTTTAAAAACTTACTCGACACACACTTTCACATTTGAACGCTCACATCCAACATATAAATATGTAACTATATAAATATATCAAAATATATAAATATATTTGTATTTATATATTTTATATTTATATATTTACATGGATATACATTTATTTGTATATAAATATAATTTATTTATAAATTATTACTAGTAAATCCTAGTAGTCTAGTGGTTGGAGTATTAACCTTAAACTCTAAAATATTAAGTTCAAATCTTATTTTTGATAATCCTCTACTATTAATTTTATTTTTTTTAATAAATTTTAAAGAACTCACACTCTTTTTTTTTTTTTATTATAACTGTCAAGATTATTATCTTAACACAACTATTCTATTTAAATAATTATATTAAATACCTATTCATTAGAATAATAATATATAAAGAATATTCTTATTCAATATTATATTAAATATATTTATAAATATTATTTATTACTTAAAATAGTATTCCTAAAAAACTTATAAGTTATATTATTTCATTATATATATATATATATATATATATATATATATATATATATATATATATATATATATATATATATATATAACATATGCATCATAATGTTTTTTAAGTAACCTTTTCCATTCTTTTAATTCTACAAAGTTCAAACCAAATTAATAGAGTAAAACCAAATGGTTGGTGATAATATTGATTAACTGGAAATATCTATATTATTTTTGTTATATTTTTTTGGAAGAACATTTATTTATACAAATTGCTTGATAAATAACTATCCAAAAAATTTAAACAACATATTACATAGGATTTTTTCAATACAAATTTGTTTCAAAATAATTGATATTTTAATTAAGCATTAAAAAAAATTATCCTTACACATGTTCTTATATATTATAGAGGAAATTTAAGATTTTATAAGATTCGATTAAAGTTAATTTGGACGCACATATATATTTAACGTGTATCTACTTATCAAGTTTATACTATAGTTATTATGATATAAGTTTGAATAAAGTCGATTATGATTAATTTATTTAAATTTAATTGGGTGATATCCTATGTAATTATCTTAGTTGGGATGTGGTTTTTGTTTTTCATTTATTGTATAGTTTATTCAAGATTTTATGAGATTTGATTGATTTATATTAATGAGCCGCGCTTATTTAACATGAATGTAATTATTATTATTATTTTACTATAACTATTATGGTTTAAATTTGAATAATGATGGTTGATTAAATTATTTAAATTTAATTTGATAATACCTTATTTAACTATGTTGGTCCTGATTAAGTTTTCCAAGATTTCATCTTTTCATTTATCATATATTTTATTTAAGATTTTATTAGATTCGATTAATGTGTATGTGATTTTGTCTTGCTCCAACCCAATAATATATATGTTGAGCTTTTTTAGTCATTCACCACATATTCTGAAAAGTGAGAAAAGAAAACCTTGAAGCTCTTGAACGGAAGATTAACCTTTGTGAATCCAAATTCTCTCTACTCCGAGAAGTGGTCTCGAATCAGATTACTTTCGATCAAACAAGTAAGTACAATCTCATGCCTTGTCGTCAGATGAATCTATCTTGTATTTTGTGTTCATGCGATGTCACAAATTCTGCAATTTCTCTGATTCAAGTTTCATGTGTTTCTTTCTACTCCATCGTGACAATTTTTGGAAAAACTCAAACGATCGTATTATGACATTCAAATGATGGATTGCGTCAAATTATCTTCTTTGATTGTTTCTTAATTCTGATTCAATCATCCAAATTCTCATTTGGTTTATCTTCTCAGTGGAAATGCAGTGGTCAAATGTAGATGATATCTGTATCATTGATTTTATGGACTTGGGTCACCGCAGTAACAACAACAACTATACGTATAGTGGAGTTCGAAGATCAACTGAAGATGTTGGTGTTTCTATCTTTGATTTCATGAACACGGGTCATGACAACATGGAAAATGACAGAGTTTTAAGGTCAATTGAAGAGGGTGTTTATATCATAGATTTTGTGAACTCAGGTCACAACAACAACAACGTGCAAAACAATGGTAGTAGAATTTCAAGATCAACCGAAGATGGTGTTTTTATCTTTGATTCCATGAACTTGAATGAGATCCATTATACAGAGAATAATGTTGGAGTTTTAAGCATGAACCTTGCAAACCATGACTCTGTTAGGAATCTTGAAAGTTTCACAGTTGAAGAAAAAACAGAAGACTCTTGTTCAATTTGTCTCATGGAACTTTCATTTGGATCAAGAGCAATTCGCATGCCTCACCCGTGTTCTCATATCTTTCATCAACACTGCATCACAAGGTGGCTCAACATCAGTCACACATGTCCTCTATGTCGGAGGACCATCTAGCTATAAGCTTTTTGTAATATTTTATGTTCTTTCATCTCATTTGAACTTTCTCTGTACATCCAAATTGACAAATTGGTATAAAATTTTTGTTGTTAAACATGATTTTCTAACCAATTTAGCCTCAGTTCAGAATTTTTCTTTCAAGAATGGAAACGATGCTTATTGAATTTCATGTTTGTCACATACATGTCTTGGTCATTAAGTCTAGAATTAAGAAATATTGTTTTAAGTATGTATATTAGCGACTAAAATTAGTCTTTTTACTAATCAATTAGAGAATGTGGTAGCACTAAGTTTATATCAGGATTGAAGGTGGACGTGGATTTGAGGAGGGAAAAAAAGAAGAGAAAAAGAGAGGGGAGAATAACATTATATGGATTAAAGGAAGGAAAAAGAAGAAGAAGAAATATTATAATTTATAACACTGATTTAATAGATTAAAAAAAAAACTAATAGAGTAATTTAATGAATGATCAAAATATTATTTATATAATTTTATAAGAATAAATATAAATTAAAATTATATATAATTTAATACAAAATAATGATTTAAAATTTGATAATAATAAATTAATTTATATATAAATTAAAAATAAACTTGTAATATGCTTTAATTAAAAGAAAATTAAAAAGAAGAAGAGAGAGAAAATATGGTTTTCCTTCTCTTTCATGCAAACAAATTCTCTCTTCATAGCTCAGTTCTACCTTCTCTCCTATAGATCATGATCTTCTTCTTCCCCGATCAAGAATCCGAGGTCGTCGTTATGCTCACGGCGGAGAACAGCAGAAGACCCACCGATTAGAATTTCGTTTCGGTAAGTTTGAATTTTAGGGTTTTTACAAGTTAAAATTTGGGGTTTTGAGAATTTAAGGAATTATTTGTGGAATTAAAGGTTTTCTCTTACTCTTTCACTCCCCAATTTCATGTTCTTGGGTTTAATTCTGTTTATTGCTTCAATTTTGTTTTTAGGGTTTTCCAAATTGGGGGAGAACGGTACCTCTTAGGTGTTTTAGCGATCCTAAGACTTTATTGGAATTAGGTTGACGTGTAACATCACCCATAGGTAAGGGAGACTTCTTTGATTTTTACTGGCTGTATTGTATTGACAAAAAGTTAAATAAAGTGAATAATGAGTATGTTTGTGATATATATACGTGTTGTAGGTGATATGATATTGTGAGCACTTGTGGAAACCTTGTAGTGTAAACTGTTTTGAAATAGATATCTTTGTATTATTGAATTTCTAAAATGTATGGTTGGTTTGTGTGGTTTGAAGGAGAAATGATGTACCGTTTTAAGTGAATTATGATTGCATAGTAGTTGAGAATTTTAAATGTTGGACGGGACACTGTGAACTGCATGATGTTGGTTTGATTCTAGAAACCCTGAGTAAAATAGTGTGTATGGAATAGTTGTTGAATGATAGATTTGATGTACTGTGTAAAATAATGTGTATGAAATTATGGATAGGCGTAATAGGATATCCAGACTTCTAAGATGTTCCTACTCATATAGACGAAGACATTTGTGGTGGGAAGTTGATGGAGACATATCATAGTGTCAATCTTATGCATGTGTTGCTCTGATGAGAGGTTGAAAAAAATGATATTATAAGCTTGGGGCCATGAAATTTTAAGGGTCTGGGACCCCAAATATTCCTCATCAGGTGTTTGCCTTACTGGTCCTCATCAGGGGTCTCAGACCCTTAAAATTTCATGGCTCCAGGCCTATAATATCATTTTTTTCAATCTCTCATCAGAGTAACACATGCATAGGATTGACACTATGTTGTGTCTCCATCGACTTCCTACCACACATGTCTTCGTGTATATGATTAGGAACATCTTGGAAGTTTGGATACCCTATTACGCCTATCCATAATTCCATACACATTATTCTACACAGTACAGCAAATCTATCATTCAATAACTATTCCATACACACTATTCTACTCAGGGTTTTTAGAATCAAACCAACATCATGCAGTTCACAATGTCCAGTCTAACATTTAAAATTCTCAACTACTATGCAATCATAATTCACTTAAAACGGTACATCCTTTCTCCTTCAAACCATACAAACCAACCATACAATTTAGAAATTCAATGATACAAAGATATCTATTTCAGCCAATCTATTTCAAAACAGTTTACACTGCAAGGTTTCCACAAGTGCTCACAATATCATACCACCTACAACATGTATATATATCACAAACATACTCATCATTCACTTTATTTAACTTTTCGTCAATACAATACAACCAGTAAAAATCAAAGAAGTCTCCCTTACCTGTGGGTAATGTTACACGTCAACCTAATTCCAATAAAGCCTTAGGAACACCTAAGAGGTACCGTTCTCCCCCAATTTGGAAAACCCTAAAAATGAAATTGAAGCAATAAACATAATTAAACCCAAAATATATGAAATTGGGGAGTGACAGAGTAAAAAGAAACCTTTAATTCCGCAAATAATTCCTTAAATTCTCAAAACCCATTATGTTATGGAATTGTATCTCCCAAATCTATTAATTATCAATGAAATTTACAAATTATTAATCTTCTCAATAACTCTTTTGTAATAGATAGATTATTTTTATTTTCTATTTTTTTTATGGAATAGTTTATGATTGATAGTTTCCTAACAATAATGTTTGGCATTCCATTGAAAACCATAGGAAACTAATCGACAACACTAATGAAATGAAACCACGAATCATGTGATTGGGCCTTAGCTCAATTATAGGCCCTCTCCTTTTATAAACAAATAAATAAATTGCTTCCCTTTTACAAACATAATTACTTTTCGGTTTTAATATCTTCTAAATTATTCTCGCAGTAGACTCATTATTTTTTTATCCTTCAATAAAAATTTATCCTCTTCCTGAAAAAAAGAGAGAGTAGAACTAATAAATAATTCTTTTATTCATCCCTGATTTTTTTTTCTTTTTTGAATATCATTCTTTTATTTTTATAGACGAAGAGATGTGGATAAAACTTCTTATTTTCTAAAGATATTCCTACATCGATTTTTAAAAAATAAACTAAAAAATATATTTGAAGTCTTCGATTCATTTGTTGTGAGAGTGAAAAATTGACCAAATAAAAAGGAAAATAGAAAATGAGTTTTTCTTGTTTCTCGCACAACAGGGTCCTAAAATGAAGGTTATACTAGTTTAATGGTTGAACGCACGCAGCTCCTAATAATGATACCATCGTATTAAGGTTGAGTCTCAACCATATAAATATTATAGTACAATAGTAGATTATATCATTAATGACCTAACTTATTATCGGGTTCATCATTGATTCGATTTCTATAGTATTATTTATACAATTCTTTCAATAATAAAAATATTCTCTACAATATAAGTTAAATCTTATTTATGTTTTTCGTGAAACTAGATAAATAAAAAGTCTAACAAAATTTATAATTTTTGAATAAATATAGTATTATATTTAAGGCTATATTCAATTTAACAATACTCATGGGAAAATATATACTTTTATTCTCATATACTCAATATTATTTGTGTTAGTTTTGACTTATTCAAGGTCAACAAGTCAAAGCTTGTAAATTAATGGCATGAAATTTTATTTTGGAGATTATTTTCATAACAATGATAAAGAATTTAACAGATATATATTATTATGAGTGTTGCATTTTGTATAATTTTAATTGAAAAAGTGATTCTTAATATGATTTTAAAATAATTAAACAAAATAGAGATCAAAATGAAATAAGTCAACAAACAAAAGGTAAATTTTGTTATAACTTTATGGTCACTAAGGATCAGATATAATTTACTAAGATTTTAAATATATTCATGTTTATATTCATTATTCTATAATTAAGAATTAAATATGATTTTTGAAAATTCCTATTTTTGGTGTAAAAATGCGGGGCTGGACTAGCTTCTTCGGAAAGGCCGAAGAAGTTCCAACTAAACAGGTATAAGGTTTTATTGGGTTTCACATTTCATGAGAATCATATTCAAACTGCTGCGTGTCGCTCTGACAACCTTAAATTTTGTTTCTTTCTCTGCCAGAAACGCATGAAGGGTCGAAAGGTCTGCCCTTTTTCTCTTTAGTGGTTGGTTTTCCAAAACACTTGAGTAGAAGAATAAATGGAGTTGGGGTGTGGGTTTTATACTAAAGTTGACAACTTTCGTCGTTTTGGGGGTTTTTGAGAGAGTGTCATGGTCATGGAGGGAAGAGTCTGCGAGGATTTAACCTCCAGGTATTATGCCCTTTGTGCCATTGGAGGAATGCTCAGTGCTGGCACCACCCACGTCGCCACCACTCCTCTTGATGTATTGAAAGTCAACATGCAGGTGCTTTCCAAATCTTTGTGTTCACTCACTTGTCCCACAAATCATGTTTTACTGGCGGACTGAAATATGGGAGTGAAGTGATTAGTATGTTATGTTTTACTATGTTTTATGTTCAGAGATATCTATAATTTAGCGTCTGACTCTTGGCAGATATTGAGCACCCAAAAGTAATGGGGGAATTTAAATAATTGAAGTGGGATTCACTTACCCTTTTGTATCACTTCTAATATGAAAGATTGATTTTTTTTGGCCGCCCTTATGCGATGACAGTGAGATGAGTTATAAGATGTTTTCTCACCCTTGTATGTAGAATAATAGTTGTTGATTTTATCCTATTTGTTAACGGGGAAGTGATGTTGTTAAATGTAGGTGCACCCAGTTAAGTATTACAGTATTTCTTCTTGCTTTACTACCTTATTGAGGGAACAAGGGCCTTCTGTCCTCTGGAAAGGTTGGACCGGCAAGTTCTTTGGCTATGGTGCTCAAGGAGGGTGCAGATTTGGTCTCTATGAGTATTTTAAAGGGGTTTATTCAAATGTATTGGTAGACCAGAACAAAAGTTTTGTTTTCTTTCTCAGTAGTGCGTCTGCTGAAGTGTTTGCCAATGTAGCTCTATGTCCTTTTGAAGCTGTTAAAGTGAGGGTTCAAGCACAACCCTGTTTTGCCAAGGGCTTGTTTGATGGCTTTCCAAAGTTATATGCGTCAGAAGGCACACGAGGGTAAAGAAAAATCTAATACTTAGTCTTTACCTACTGGGAATCCGTATTTAGGAGATGATTATGATTATTTATGTTCTATTCCTATCTACTATTTGCAGATTCTACCGTGGACTAATTCCACTTTTGGGTCGAAACATTCCATGTAATTTTCATAATCTCTTTTATGGTTGATTCTACACTAGTTAGGGTAGTATATCGATATTTAGAAATGTAAGAGAAATCAGTAATATTATCACATTGATATTTTGGATGCAGAAAATTATACAAATTTTAACATCTTGCTTTTCTCTGTGGTGTATGTTCCTGTGTCTTTACCATTCCTTCGCTACCATAAAATATTTCCTTTTCTTTTGTTAAATCATATTGTTATGTACAATGAGGGTCAAGTAACTATTTGACTGGGGTAGTTATAGACATTAGTTTCCTGTTTATTAATAGTATATGAGAGATGTGCTGTTGATTGATATTGTACTAATTAATATTGTTCTCATGGAGTAGCATGACAATGGAATATGTGGTTTCAGTGAGTGTGAGCTTTAACTATAGCTCTTGTTCATAAATACACTGAATATTAAGTACTCTTCTTTTTCTTCTTTGGAACAGTTTCCATGGTTATGTTCTCAACATTCGAGCACTCTGTTGATTTTTTGTATCGAAATGTGGTCAAAAGGAAAAAGGAGGATTGTTCAATAGGTCAACAACTTGGTGTGACATGTTTAGCTGGATATGCAGCTGGCTCTGTTGGTAGCTTCATTTCTAATCCTGCTGACAATATTGTATCTTCTCTTTATAACAGAAAAGCCGATAGTCTTGCACTGGTATTGGTTTCTTAACAATTTAGTTTATAAGACTTCCTTGGAAGATAGTAGAAATCAAACTTACTTTTCTCCACTTATTTTGGTGTGCAGGCTATCAGAAATATTGGACTAGCCAATCTATTTACCAGGAGTCTTCCCATTAGAATGTTGCTGGTTGGTCCTTCTATAACTTTGCAGTGGTTTTTCTATGACACCATCAAAGTTTTAGGCGGAATGTAAGTGTATTCTGTTCACAAATTCCAAATTTCAGATTTTGATTCTTTTGTTGAAGATAGTCACAATATAAGAAAGCCTTAATAGGTTTGGATCTTGATATTACCATAATTTCCTTTTCTTGCACCTGGTATACGAGTCCAACTTAGGGGGAGGGTTGATTATATGTGAAATTCCCGTTGTCAATGAGGAAAATGTTCTCATTTGATATGAGGAATCATGTTCTTGCTTATGCTTGCATTTGTATTGCATGATTTCCATCTATATTTGTATCATAACCACAATGTCGTGCTATTTTTATATAATGATTGAATTATTTGGTTAATGTTTTTTCTTCAGACAGAAGTAAACACCATCTTTTAACACTAGTAGATACATCGGTATAAGTGTCTAAATGTAGTGCAAAAAACATAAAGCAAAAATTATTAAAACAATGCCATCAATAATAGCATTAAGTGGCTTTTAATGGATAACAAACAATACACATATTATTCTATGTGATGATAAATTGATAAGAATACAAAAGAAGGATAGTTATAATATTAGTAGAAAGAAAAGAAGGATTGTATCTCAAAGGAATTGGGAATAAGAAAGAGGGATAATTGATTGAGGGCAAGGCTGATTTTTGGGAAGGGATGTACCGTTAGGACTTTGGGGAAGGGGGAGTTAATTGGCTATAGTAACATAAAATAAATAGGAGGACTGAAGGGGAGGAAATTAATTCAGATCTGAATCATTTGTAAATTGAACAATAGCTCTTGGTGAAAGTGAAGGGGAAACATGGAGGAGAGTTATATCTCCTATTCCCCGTACCTTTGCTACAAAAAACTAAATTATTTCTTCTATTTGCTAATAGTTTATATGTGATTGTAGATTTAGCTTGTGTTTCAGCTTCTGATGTAAGCAATAGATTAATTTTGCCATGTATAGTTAGTTATGCCAGCTGTAGTTATGTTTTCCTAGCTGTGTCTTTTCTGTTAGAGGCAGTTACAGAAGCTGCTTCTAGTCTCTTTCTATAAATACTTGAACCCTATGTTGTTGGGAGATTTAAGAAAATCAATAACAGGAAGCTTTTTTCTCTTTCATTTCTCAGTTTCTTGAACTTGTTCAATGTTAACCTGGGTTCCTGACATTATACAATATTGTAGATAGTGAATGAGTGTTTAACTCACCTGATCTGTGTATGCCTTGCCATTTAGCATTGATCAATGTAAAAAGGCTGTGTTAGTTAGGCAGGTTGGTGAGCTAGAGTTGCTGAAAGCAGTAATGATATTATAGGTAAGGTATGATGACAAACAAAAATGCTGAGAATGGAAATCATGGCTTGCAAATTTTTGTACTGGCCTCTGCTGGTACTGTTTAACTGGGAAGAATTTTATCTTATGATAAATTTGCAAAGTCATCAACTGCTATGCTTTAATATTGTATTTAATCCTTCTTATTTTTATCTGTCCAGTAGTGGTTTTTTATATTATTCTGTATGATAAGATCAGAAACAACCCGAACACTTTAGCCTTTTGATGTCTACATTTATGTTAATAATGCATCCCTAGGATCTGAAAGCAATGATGTACTGAACTGAACATAAACTTTTAATTCTTTATTCTGTGAAATTAGTTTTTTTTTTGAAACTTTGCAGGCCAACTAGTGGTGAAGTCACAACTGATATGAAAGGAGGTGGGCCAGGCTAAGATTCAGAAAAATGGAAATTTCCAGTCACACTTTTCAGGCTGACTTGTATGATTGGAAGTCATTTAAACAATATATAGGATTAGTTTTGTGGTAGCTTTTGCTTTCTGCTACCATTTTTTTGAATTTGTCATTATAGGCTTTCATTGATGCCTTTGATATTTGCTTTCCAAAAAGAACGAGAAGCCCATTTAGATTCTCAAGCGTACTAGCATACTAGAATTTGTACAATAAAAAGAGAAAACACAGATTTGCTACCAATTATTGTGCTGGCAATTTACCAGTTAAGGTTTTACTTTTTACCCATGACTCATATCAGCCACACCTCATTTTATCTATGGCCTTGAGTTCTTTTAACTAATCAACACTTTCTTGTTGGTGGTTTCCAATCTTTCTATTATGTTTTGATATTATTTGGCGTTGGAGATTCTATTGACTATTAATATGATCAAAATAGTGTATTTAAGTGGGGAATAATTCTGATCCAATGAGCTAGTATTTGGATGAAGTCCAAAAAATCCAATTATAAGATTTTATCAGTTAGTGATAGTGTTTGTTAAATCTATTAACCCCCTTCCCCTTTAATGAAGGTACTATCAGGTTATGTTTAAGTCTAGTTAAAATTATAAGATTTTGAGAGGTTTTTTCAAAGTTAACATATAAGGAAAGGAGTATTTCACCATTCCAGCAGTTGTAGGGCAGAATCATTCATCATAATCATTTAATACAACTGTCGAATTTGTCTGTCAACTATGAGCAACTGAATCATAAAGGACAATATTATTGAAGGTGTAGGAAACTGCAAGCTCATGGTTCACGAGCAGAATGAGCAGTAGGTGGGTGATAAATGAGGACCAGATATGAGGAAGTACATTTGTATTGTCACCATTCATCAGATGTCCTTCAAAGCTCAGCATGATATGGTTTGTTATTGAAGGGGCAGTCTCACAATCTGCTATGTGACATCTACTCTCACTGTTATGTCACTATCAGATGCATCTTCAAGAACACGTTGGGTTGGCCCCACTTATCTACCTGACTTTTTAACTCCATGTTCTGCCCAACACTATCACTCTCAAAACTCGCTGTAGACACTAACAAATAACTGAATGGTGAATACCAAATAAGGAAGTTTACTGCACAAACTTTTTCTTTAAGCATATAGTCAGGTACTTGATTCTTAAAGTTATGTGCATCAAAACATTATGTTGGGAGATGTCAGAACTTTTTTTACAATAAACCTAAAACCCCAGGAGGAAAATCCCTCACTAGACTCAATTTTTTCTCACAGAAATCAGATTCCAGGGGTGCCATTTCTCACCTTCCAATTCAATGTTTTCTTACTTCTTCCATTGTTTTTCTGTATAGTTTTTTTAATTTTTTACAACATATTTAAAATAATTTTAAATATTTATATTGAAAATTTTAGAATATTTATAGCAAATTCAAATAACATTTTTGTTATATTTATAAAATCTGCAATTTTAGTTTTGTACTTTTTTTTTTATGATTATATTCTTTGCTTTTCAGTTATTTCTTGAATTGAAAATTGAAACGTACGTAAAAAAAGGTTTAATTGTAATGTTTGATTTTATATTTGATAAAGTTTTTAGTTTTAGGTTCTAAATTTTCACTTTTTCTGATTTTATTTTTCATTATTAATTATTTGTTAGTTTGGTATCTAGTTTTTTCCATATAATTTTAATGTCATAATTTTAGTTGTAAAAATACATTAAATCACTATTAAATTATATTTGATAGCAGTTATGTAACAATGTGACGATTTTTTTTTAATTTGTCAATTGTATTAATAATTAATTCAAAGATCAAAATTATAAATAAGCAATAATTAATAGATGATACTTAATTTTTTAAAATTATTAAATAATACTTAATGAAAAATTTGAAAATTATTATAGAAGCAGTAAATTTAACAATATAATTAAAATAGTAAATTTAAAAAATATTTATAAAAATAAAATTAAAAATAAATCACATTTTTTTACATTAAATTAGTAAATATTGCACATTTAATTTGTAGGGAAAAGAATGATTCAACATAAAAAAATGTTATTATACATTCAATGGACTATTTAAACTAATTAGATTAAAAAATAACTGTATTTTTGTTTAAAAATGTATCCACTAATGAATAAATAAATAATATGTAAAATTTAAGATTATTTAAGTTCATAATGTTAAAAAAACATATTTAATGTTAATTAAATAGAGCAGATTGTATTTTTTTTAATAGAAGACAAATTGCAATAACTTTACATTCAAAGTAAATATAATATGCATGGAACAAAAATAAAATTGAAAGGAATTGGACATTGAAATAAACGATTATATCATTATATGTACAAATAGGAGTATTTTTTTTCATTTATTTTTGTCTTCAATAAAGATAAGATATTATTTTCCATTCTTGTTACCCATTGAAGTCATCAAATATGTTGTCCATTGTGCTTATTTCTATCTTCATAAGAAAAAAATCTCTGGGGTATCATCTTCCTATTGTTAGATAAGCGTTGAAATAAATTAATTGTCATGTAGAATATTTAAATTAATTTACCCTTAAATGATATTTTCACTTGATGACATAAATACTGCATAAAAGTTAAAACCTTTAAACTTGACAAATGTGCATGAAATGGAGACAAATTTAGAGGAACCAAACAAAAAAGGGAACAATAGACACACGTGAAGCAGACAAAACACAGAATGAAATGACATTTATAAATTATTACATTAATTTTAACTTGAAATATATTTAAATTTGGAAATTAAGAATATTTAATTTTATTTGTGTGTGAAAATTAATATAAGTTATTATATGAAATGACATTTATAAATTATTACACTAACTTTAACTTGAAATATATTTAAATTTGGAAATTAAGAATATCTAATTTTATTTGTCGTGAAAATTAATACAAGTTATTATTTTAAAGTAGTCTTTTCAATTACAGGAACATTAATCGTATCGTTATTTTAAAAATTGAATTAGATCGATAGGTTTAATGATTTAACCAAAAAATAAATTAAAAATTGGTCTATTATTTTTAAATAATCAAATTTTAATTAAATCAAAATAAAAGAACAAATTTAGAATAAAACTAATAAAATTAAAACAATCGAATGAGATTTTAAATTAAATCGATTTTGATTTAGAAAAAAGAAAAAATTTAAGATAATTTTTTTTAATCTAATTTTTTTATAAAATATATAATATATTTTATTTTTTATCTTAATTTTAAATAATAATTATTTTTTTTAATAATTATTTTTGTTAAATTTCTAATATATTTTATATTTATAGTTTTTATATAATTTTGATAATTATGATAATAAATTTTATTATTTAAAAAAGATTAATATTAATAATTTATTATATAATTATTATATTATAAAAATATTATTTTATTAAATTTATAATCAAATCTTTAAATCCCAAAACCAATTAATATTGGTTGACGTCATATTGTTGAAAAGATGCTGAAACGAGTATGAAAGGAATCATTCACGGGATTCGCGGTAAAGTTGTTTCTGTTTACGTTGTTTCTGTAACTTTTTCACGAAATTGCTACAACAAAACAGTTATGAATCTGTATCAGGTTGTTCTTCAATCACGGTGAAAACAAAAACCAAACAGCCCTTAACCTTACCCCGTTGTCTTAATGAGAAGAAAAGAAAAATGCTAGTTTCACAAGTTACAGTAACAACAAATAAAACAGAAAAAGAAAACAACACAACCCCACCTAATTGATGTAAATCATACTCAGAAATAAACTATTTTTATGAAGGACAAAGAGTACATTTGACGCAGAGAAAAAGAAGAAGAAGAAATAATTAGTTTTATTAAAAGTTATAATAAAAGTGTATCAATAACACTTTTTGATAATCATATTACTCGTACTTCTATCTTGTTAATTAATGTCAGGAAAGTACTTGTCTGTATTCTCTCTTTATTCATTAAAGAAGCATACTGTAGAAAGTGATTCAGTTATGGAGAATAAAAAAGTGATCAACAGTTATACATTTGCACATACTCTTCTGGCAACCAACTGGGCAAATATATCTTCAGGAGGTACACAATAATCCACCTTCAACTTAATTAATTAAGACTAAATAATATTATCCACAACCTTCTAGATCTCAATGTTTCCTATTACATTTTGAGAAATTATTAGTTAACTTTGTGCTCTATTTCATGTTCAAGAGTAGCACAATCATGTCCCTTGCTTCAATTAAAATACACATTAATGACAGTAACTTGAAAAAAAAAAAAGTAATCCCTAATGAGTCAAGAAAGAAATAAAAAGAATGAAGATAAACAACAATTCAATAACATTTTTCTCAGCTTAAATGAGTAAAGTTGTGTAATTTGGGATCAAGGGTTCGTAGAGAAGGCGTAATGGCGATCATGTATGATCTGGATTCACAGGTAGCTTCAGTCATTATCCTGTGATTAAAGATGGAGAAAGCAACACTTGAATATCTAATTGTGCCACGCCTTTGCAAGCAATGTTGTGACTCTCAAGTGTGAGACTTTAGTGGAAGAAGCCCTAGTTGAATCCAATGCTCTGTTCTGCCCTGCCCCACCAGTGTTTGACATTTATCTGCTTCAAACAAAGAATTAGTGGCTGCTAGGGTTGGAGAAAAATCTCTCTTCAATCTTACCTTCATAATCAACTTTTGGACCCTTTTCATAAACCATAGGTGGACCAGATTTTAGAGAACTAAGACATTATGTGAATACATGCTAATGAAACCTCACACAGTTGACAAATAGTCCCATCTCTTATATATGGATACTTTATGAAAATATTTTATTAAACTACGCAATCGTATTTGGGTGTTTTTTATATTTTAAAAGAGAGATCTTTTTAATGGATCGGCCGAGAAATATTCTTGATGAAAAAAACAAAATTGCTTGAATTCAATTTTGTATGGTTATTAAATTCAGAAATGATATTTTTACAATTCAAATCCATATAATTCCTGTCAACAATTCTATTTTAATATTATAATAATAATTTTAATTTATTTTTATTTTTATTAAATTATTCGGTAAATTATTATATTAATAAAAGTGAGTTATTTAAAGAGTGATATGGTTTTTAGTTTCAAAATACCACCCCTCTATTAAATTATGATTACCAACGTGGTGCGAGATCAACCTTGTAATGAAAATTAATCTGACCCAATTTCTGCCTTCTATAAAAATATTGATCTATCTTTTTACAATTTTAAAACAGAAGAGTGTGAATAAAAGAATTGTATGCATAAGAAAATCATGCGATCAATCGTTTAGGCAGAGCCTACATTTGCCAAACTGTATTCCAGAATGCTGAATTGTCAAATAGGCCATTCTAAAACATTGGATGGCAATTAAGAAAAACAAATATATGTTATGTGTATATTTTTTTAAGAAAATGTGAAGGTTTTAAATATAAAATGATAGTGTATGAAAAATCATTCTTAAGAACATTACTTTTTGTTTTTAGTGAATGGTCCTAAAACAGTGGTTTGTATGACCAATTATTTTCTTCTGAGTTTTGCTGATAACTTTTCCATCAAGAACGTCTATAGAAGGCGAGGTATGTATGATGCAGTGTAAAAGTGTGGTTAGCAGTGGGTTATACTACAACTGGCCAACGACGTCGTTCTTTATAAATTAATTATACTGATCTGGTTTTCTGACTTTTCCCCCTCATTAAGTCATCTCCTTGAAAGGTTATTTACGAAAAATATCCAGCTGCCCACGTGATTAAATGAACCACAATGGCTGCTAAGTGATTAACTATGGAAACATGATGATTACTTCTTTTTCATTGTTATTATCAGTCCTTCCAGTATTTTCATTTTCTTCCCATTTAAAAGTTCTAATCAGAGTAATTTGAATCCATATTAGAAGGCATTAGATAACGAAATGGTAAAATCAAGTGAAAGAAGATATTTTGTGGAAGTGGTACAAAGGGTAACTGTAATTTGTTTAACAATAAGGTAAAGTTACAATTGTACATACATAACGCTAGTACATAATCATGTTCTGTTTCTCCCCCACTGTCCCTCGCTGTTTGCCTTTTGGATTGTATACGCTTCTTTCTACTTCCAAGACAACAGAATACAAATGAAATAAATAGAAAATTCAAATTATACAGGGAAAGAAAATCAGAAAATATTGAACAAGAAATCTACAATTTGTGCCGTCAAGTCAAAGCAAATTATAACAGCCTACGAAGGCTGTCAATTCATCCTTGCACGATCCATATCTCTGCATATTATTGACCGCACACTGAGAGATATATTTGTCTCTATTTTTAAATGCATATCCCTGTCACATAGGAAAATAGTAAACATCAGCAGCCATGCCTTCCCTGTTTGCCATCATTCCCTCTACAGAAATGCAACCATGCAACAAGTAGTTATCAATGAACAGGGTGTTTAGAAGAGCCTCTATGGAGCTTATTTGAACTAATCAAAATAAGCTTATACCACTCTATATTTTAGCTTATTTTAATCATCTTCATGGAATCATGGTTAAGCTTATAAAAAACAAGTTATTTTTAGTTTATTTCAAGTTTCTTGGTTAACATCTATGGCATGGCCTCTCATATGATACGTACATATTGAATAAATGCTTCTTTAAACTGTTTTTACCCAAATGCACCCTGAAATAATCAGAGGGATAAGCACTTACAAGTTAAGCCTAGAGCAACTATTTTAATGATTAATACCCAATTTTCAATTTTGCAGTAGATGTATAGACCTAGAAAACAACTCAACACAACTTACACATGGAGTCTGTCGCTTGCCAACAATGGTATCATTGAATGAAATCAGGTTTTCACATAATCAACCCCTTCACGTTTTCTTTTGTTAGACTTTGAAAAGAAGCAGATCTGAGCCCAACTCTTTTTCTGCTTAAGAGGCTGTGATTTAACATCCTTCTTTTCCCTCTTCTCGACAAGCTCAGCCATGTATTGGACAACAGCCTAGGATGCACCAACACATGGAAATTTTGGTAAAGGAAACAGATTAAAATATCAAAGGAACGAGATTAAACGAGAAAAACAAAAAAGGGAAGTTACCTGAGCTCCTTTCTCAGCTATATCTCTTGGTGGAACTTCAAGAGGATTCTCTTCCACTCGCAGGATGCGTAGTCGAGTGAGCATCCTAAACGAGTCAGGAAGCACACGTATCTGATTATTACTGATATCCAATTCCTCAAGCATTTCCAGATTCCCAATGGATCTTGGTAAGTATCTCATGTCAGCAAAATTGTTTCCTATGTTCATCTTGACAAGAGAGGTGGCAAAACATAAACTCTCAGGCACTGCCTCAAGCTCATTGAAACTCACATTAAGTTCCTTGAGGTTTGTTAGAGACGACATTGTTGTAGGTAGTTGTTTTATGTTATTGTACCGCACAGACAAAATCTCGAGGGTCTGAATCTTTCCAACAGCTTCGGGCAGGGCCTTGAGCCTATTATAGTCAAGACGAAGCTCCCTAAGGGAAGAACAATTACCAACAGAATGAGGAAGTTCCTCTATATCATTTGTTTCCACATTCAATACTTTTAGTCTAACAAGTGATCCTATAGAGTCAGGAAGCGCTGAAATTTGATTTGAACTCAAATCAAGCTCCTCTAGACGTATCAACCTGCTAAAAGAAGCAGGCAGAAGAGTTAACTGGTTTCCCCGCAGATCAAGATAAATCAGACTGAGAAGATTTCCAACAGAATCAGGAAGCTCCGAGATTCTATTGGAATGCAAGTCCAATCTGGTCAATGATGAAAGCCCTCCAATTGTAGCAGGTAGGGCCATAATCCGATTCTCTGACAAATCAAGAGTAACCAAACTCGACAACTTCCCTATCGAATCAGGTAGCCAATCAACCTGGTCCATCAACTTGTTCTGCAGTTTGAGATCACGGGTCCCTTTCTTCGCAGACACTTCAATTAAGCTAGCGAGCTTTATCAAACTCAACTTATCCCCATCTGGACCTGCAAAATAACATTAACAAACAAGATTTCCCACACTTCAACTTCCAATACAAGAAACTAGATACCAAATAACAACGACAAACCAAATTCCACCGCTCAGTAACAAAATAACAAAGCCAATAAAAACAAAATTGATCGTTGAGTAGCATATTATATACGATTGATGATTACCTGCAGGGGTTGTGGGTTTTAACGATGAATTCAATAAACTGGCTTTGGAAGGGATAGTGGGTTGTTCAACTCCATAGCCATTGGAGTAAAACGTGGACTTGGCCTTCTTGACGTAACTGTCATCTCGCGTGACCAATTCGGGGCGTTCTTTCGCCGAGTGGAACATTCTAGAAGTAGAGGAAGCAGCAGTGGCAGCAGGGTCAGGCAGGGGCTTATCAAAATCACCAACAGAAACCGAAGCAGAAACGGAATTCTTGGACAAAGTCGGGGAAACCGAGGAAGCGGAGCCGTTAGAGTAGCTTGTTTTGCGAGAAGAGGAAGCAGAGGGAGAGGAAACGCATTTTGAAGCTCTCTGAATCAATTCATCGAACAGAGAATGAACGTTGTCGAGATCGAAAAGTTTGAGAGCCTCCCTCTTCTGGTCCTTGCTCTGGTAAAAGACGACGTTCCTCTGCATCTCTTGGAGCACCATGAAGAGCTCTTCGGGCACATCCACCCCCTTGGTCTGTCGAGCTATGGAGTCCAGCCTAGCCTGGTCTTCCTTGTCGACATTGACGATCAAACCTCTGGCTGCTTCGACCTCGTCAATTGCAGGGCGCGGCGGCAGAGATCTGTGAATCCTCATAATCTCCTCCACCACCCCATCCACCGACGTCCAACACTCCATGTTCCTAATCCACCTCACAAAGCTTCCCACCTCATGAGAGAGATCTGAAAGGCGAGGGTCGTTTTGAGGGTAAAAGAACGGAGGATTCTGACAGTCACAGATGATGATGATGAGTTGTGTTGTGAGAGTATGAACAAAACAACATCTCTTCCAATTGCTCGCTCTTCTCTTCTCCTTCTTCTACTACTTCCTTCTCTCTTTTGTCTTATGCGCCACTTTTCTTCTTTCCCCTTTTACCCTTCTCCCTTTCCTTAAATAACACCACGCCCACACCACACCCTCGATCGTTAACAATGTTTTCCCAAGCCCGCGGTTTCATTAACGGCTTCATCAAACAAACCAAACCAAACCACTCCCAACCCCACCCTCTCTATGACCTTCTTCATTCCCACTTATTTATACGCAAGAAATTACAGAAAATAAATAATACACCTTGGAGTGTGAAGGATGTAGAAAAGAAGATTGGGTTGGGGGAGAATAATGGAAATGGAAGGGGAGAGAGGAGACAGGTGTAAGTGTTGGGAGGGGGGACACGTCGAAAGGTGTATCCAGCTGGCATTGCCAATGCCATAACACAAGACTGCAACTCATCACGGAACAGGTAGATACAACACTGGATTTATGGACTCGGTCACTTTTTTCACACCCCTTGTGCTTATTATCCTTGTTTGTTAGTGATCAGTGTTCATGGGCCTCATTGCGTCATGGCTCAGTTCAATAATACTCATTCTCATAATAATGGTAATAATAATTTGTTTTTGTTTGTGCGAGATGAGAGTGTGACATGATATGATATGATAGTCGTCCCATGATCTCCATGGATATGTGATTCAGGGTCACGTGCTGTGCCATTTGCTGTCCCCTCAACTTCAGGCGAAGCCCGTGTCCATGTTACCATCTTGCTCCTACACCTATTTAGTATGCATATAACCAACCAACCACCACCATGCATCATCCTCATTTCCCTTCTTTCTTTCTTACCCCTTCTTTTCCTACCTAAATCAACTTCAATCAATTTAACTCTTTCAATTTTACTACTTAATCCAACAATGTGACATGCTAGGCAACCCGAGCAAAACTAGGCTGCACCTTTCAACTCTGTCTAGTACCCTTTTCAAATTTCCATTTTTTAAAATGTTGCATTTTGGTAATTAATTAGCAAAAGAATACACACTTTCGTTACCTAACTGTAAACGTGTTTTCGTGGCCTAATAAACGCGCATTACCTTGTTGGTGAAAGGGACATGCTCTACTAAGCTCCGTTTATGCTCAGTAAAGATGGAATCTTCCACGAACAGATACGCTTTATTTATAGTCAAGCTCAAGCATTGTTATTGTATTTTTGGATATGTGATGGTGAACCAGTTCCCAACTCATGTCATTTTATCCATTATGGCTTGTTAAAAAAGTTAATCTGACTAAAATAAAAATAAAAATAAAATCGAACTGGTTAACCCATGAAAAAGTGAACAAATATTTTTATAGCATGTTTAACTCAAATGGGTAGGGTGGAGTTAGCTCACAAACTGAAACCATTCTGATTTGACAATTGTTAAATGCACTTCCATTTTCTATTTATCCACTCTACTCTCGTGTTCAGCTTTTTTAAAAACTAAGTTTCTGAAGCATAGTTTTAATATTTGGCACAAGTTCTATCTATAAGCGTTAATAATACATTAACAATTGTAGAAACTAAATGCTGAATGTTTTAAAATTTAAGGTGATTTGTTTAAAGTTACATTTAAAATACAAAATATTGGAATTACTTCCAGAAGGAATCGTTCACCATGGAACATGGAACCAACCTACACCATATTTTATCACACATGTCACTTTTCCCTTATCTGTGAGAGTGGAGAAAAGGGTTGTAAGGGGCTAAGAGAAAACGAGAATGAGAAAAGTAGTGGGTGGTGGTACATGCATGGTGAAAGTAAAATGAAAGAAAAGTAAGAAAGAGTGGAGAAGATGTAGAAAAGGACCACAAAAAACTAGTATAGGGAATTTGTGATTTAGTGTCAAACGTTATTAGTGTAAAGTAAACTAAATTTGGTAAATTTTAGAACATAATTATATTAAAAAAACTAATTTATGTAAGACCTTAAAAAAAATGAAGGTGAAAGAAAAAAAATGGTACTTTAGGAATATAAAAAAGGATTTCAACTAACATGGCCCAAACCAAATTTAAAAGATGATCAAGCAGGCCCATTTTCCATGGCCCACTATTATTGGCATTTTTAGACCCATTGTTATCCAAGTAAAATGTCACGCAGACCTAACCCTAACCCTAATATCACTACGAAAAATGAAACCCTCAATTATAAACATTATGAAATAAACCATGAAAAAGTGAATTAATTAATATAAGATGAATAATTAATTTGTTTGATTGAGCTCCTTCAATGTAGCCTTATAGATCTGATCCATTACTTCTTCCATACGTTTAGCTTGGTCCTGGAATTGGAAGATCGAAACCTCATTTTCCTTCTGGTATTCTTTACATGCCATGTTCTGTATAACATTTTTATTCGTGGGGCTAACGATCACCTGCAACATTTCATATAACCATTTACAAATTTAAATTCTAAGAACATGAGTGTCATTAATTTGTTGCAACTAATGTCCTAAACAAGATTAATTACGCGAAAACAAAACCTTGGTAGGAGATTTGGCAATCAAGCTTCGCACAGGTCCTCCTCGAATGCGACCATCAATTCCAATGACTAAAACAGTGACCTCACTCTTTTTGTTCTTTTCATGGTGTTTTGGCCAAACAATGTTGCCCTCCATTGACGAAATCTCGAAACTTCCCTGCATATGGAAGTCAAAGTCAACGTCGTGTTAGGACACCATCACATCATAGAAAAAGAAAAGAGCCTACATACATAAAGTTACAGTTCCAGTTATCAAACAAACATGAATCACGAGTGCCATTTTCTCTTAAAGCTATGCATGATTGAAAAGTTAATTAATCACATTGGAAAACTATATACAACCAATATACAAAAAGACAACATGTATATGCTAGACCAATATTTATGATTGAAAATATCAATTGGAAATGAGTTGGTATTTTAAAAATAAAATTCATTGGAAATAATGCAGTAAAAAAGGTGAAGACAAACTCGTAAAACAGTGTTTGGTAGGGGATCTTGATGTGGGTTGGCAAGTTCAATGTATGACACTTTACCAGTCGCTGCCAAGATAAAAATCTCATTCTCTGCAGCATATGGCAATAATACCTCTAAAATATCCTGAAAATTGTTCTTGAATTGAAATAAAGTTATCTTATCATTTATTTAGGTTAGAAGAGTAATGAAAAGAAGGAGAAATAACAATAACCTTGCTGCTATCAACTTCCACAACGGTTGCCAGAAAGGAATAACGATTTTCTGTTTGTTAACACAAGCCAATGGAGAGCTTAAAAAATTGTTATCATATTTAGATAAGCTTCTCCATAATATTTCTAGGAGAGAACAAAAAAAATTAACTTTTTCATAAACTAAAGTTTCGTTATACACAAGTTAATAAATCAGAGAAAAAATATATGGAAAAATTGTGTGATACTCTTCTGCAAAGGCTGTGGTAGTTTATCATCAATCATTTCCATATCAGCCGGAATCTGTGGATTGCAGCCGCCGGCGGTTGAAGTTAACGGCGGAAGAAATTCATGACTTGGCTCTGCCATCTTATCACACACTGTTTTTCACACTCTGAAATCTGAATGAGTTTATCAGAAGGACTCCATGGTTGGTATTTTTTTTTATAGAAGCAAATTAATCAACCATTACTTTTCTTCTTAATTTATGTTTTATATTTAATCTCTTTTCGTTAAAAGTATATTTTCAAAAGAGGAAAACATTAGTAATTCTAAGATATATTAAATCCATGAATGAGAAATAATTGAATATATATAAAAGTCATAATCACAGCACGTAAATAATTTAAATGCTTGATGATTCTATAAAATGTTAAACTTAATGAAATATTGTAGAAAATATATAACAATGGTCTATTTAAAATTTTCAAACTTGGAAAGTCATAAGTAATTAACAAGATACTGGATCAGAATACTGAAAGCAAAGTATGCAATGCAGACATTTATGGAAAGATAAAATACCTATCATATTTAAAGAAAATCATAATATATAGAATATAATTTTTTTCTTCAAAATAAAATAAAAAATTGATGTAGAAGGAGAAACTATTTCCAGCCATCAAATTAAAAATGCATTGTTAAAAATTAACACATAAATAGAATTATCAACATAATAATAATAATAATAATAATAATAATAATAATAATAATAATAATAATAATAATTGTCTAGAATAACAAAAATTAATTATTGTCTAGGAATAAAGAGAAATTGAAGGTTTATATATTAAAAGACTTACTTTGGATATAGTGATTAGTAAAAAAATTATATAATGAAAAGATTGAAAAATATATATTAAAGGCAGGTTTTCTTTAGACACTTATTTGAATACAAAAAATGATGATATATGAAAAAATGATGACTAAATTTTTAAATTGAATTAATTTTGATAAAAAAATATTAAATCAATTTTTTTTAAAATATAATATATATATATATATATATATATATTTATCTCATATTAATTAAGTAAATTTTAAATAATAATTATTTTATTATATTTTTATTTTATTTTATTTTAAAAATTATTTATCTTATATTTTTATTATATTTTATATTTATAACAAGTATTATAATTTATAATAATTTCACTAATTTTTATTATTTTTATAAAAAAATATTTTTAATTAATTTATTATATCATCGAAATTTATTTTATTAAATCTAGTTCTGAAATCCTCAACCTATTTCACTGATGTTATCTTACAAACATGTTTTGTTTTATTTATCAAATTAAGAAAAACACATCTCAAATCTAAATGCGCACAAACGAAGATAGTTTAATATTTTTATGATATTCGTATTTTGTTTACAATATTGTGTAAATAATTTTTAAGATTTTTAAAATCCTATTTTAAAAATATTATGAATTTTTTTACCATCTTTTAGTTATACTAGTTTCTAATTTAAATAATAATAAACATTCATAATTTCATGATATGTGTATTTTTATAAAGTAAAAAAATAAAGATAAATATTTATTATCACTTTTATGACGATTTTTTAAATATTATAAATATTTATTCTGTATCATATAACTATACACTTATTGTAACGTAATAATAGCAATTAAAGTAGTACGAAGTTGTTACAATTTAATAACAGATTACTTATTGTAAAAGAGGAGTTTGATCACATATAATTAACCATGTTCAACTCAAACAAAATTGTTATTCCATGTAAATTCGACATTAACCTCTACTAAAATCTTCATTAACTTCTTTGTTTAATTGGCTTCTAACATAATTTAATTAAAAAAAAGGTAAATTCAAAAATTTCTAGTTACGAATATAGAAATACATAATTTATTTTAAAAACATTTGTTAAATTTATTTATTTCAAAATTATAAATAAAATTCTAAAATATTTTAATTGGTATTATTAGCCATCAACTATTTTATATCGTAATGGTCTTATTTCCTCACTTATTTTTGAACTGTTTAATAAAATAAAAAGTAAATCTAACAAATTATAACTCATTTTTGGTGCTTTACTATTAAGTGGAAATGGAATAGGTTAAATTAGAATTTAGTAGGTTTTGTTAAATAAAGTCAACGTTTAATATATTTTTTAAAGGTTTTATTTGACTTATTTTAAAGTCTAACTAGACTTATGAACTTATTTAAAAACCATTGTATTATGTAATATATATATATATATATATATATATATATATATATATATATATATAATATAACAAAATAAATCACTTAATTTAAAAATTCTATTATCTATAGGACCTTTAAACAAAGTATAAATTTATCTTTTAAAGATATAATAGATTTGATATTCTATGTAGGTCAACATGTTTAATACTTATATTTATTTATATATATGATTATAATATTTAATATAACATTAATAATACTAAAAATACATTATTTATATTTACTTAAAAAGGATAGTCCATTAAAAAAATGAATTTCTTAATTTCATTTGGCGAAAACAAACAAAAGACATGGTTAAACAAATATCTTTAAATGTATTACTAAAAGAGAAAAAAATGAAATAATTATTTTTATAAATTAATTATATTAAAAATAATTATTTATTTTTACTAGTTTTTTCTGTTAAAATTAGTTATGAAGAAAATTGTTCAAATATGTAAAAAAAACATTGGTAGACAGGTCAAACATAATGTTTTTTTTTAATGGAGATTTATATGAATCATTTACACGTTAACGTTTTTTACGTGGCCCATTTAGAAGATACTGCAACCTTGGGGTCCAAAAATTTTCAGGCCTTAAAACTTGAACTTGGGCAGACTGGAGAATATGTATGTCCTTCTTTCAATACTAAATTTTGCTCTGATACCCTCCGCCAAAAAAAAAAAAAAAAGTTTTTGTGGTTATCCCTATCTATGTTTAGTTAGAGTTCTAACATCCTATTTATTGTCTTCGTAGTCCCTTCCTCAGACGTTTCAATGCTGGAAATTTGGCACCATGAGAATTGATAAATTTATCATCTGCAATTAGAGGGTATAGGCAACACTTAGAAAAGAAAACAACGCAGTGTTACACCCTCAATTAACGCATACCTTGTCAAGACATTGAAGGTTACAGACAAAAAATGTAAGTTATTAGTTTTGTAATTAAAAAATCTATCTTTTGTTGTAAAGTTAATTCTTAACTAATTTCTGTAATTTTGTTTTAGCTCCATGCACAAACGGAGTTGATTTACTTTTCACAACGACCAGTTATAATATACACGTTTTCATTCATTCATGGTACAAGTGTGTTTTTCCTCAAATTAATATCTAAAACTTTTATTATTGTGAATAGAAGATAGATAATTATTACCACTTATATTTTCTTCTCCACTTTCCGATTGGAAATAAAGGATTTTCATTAAATTTACAAAATGCTTGAAATTGTTTAAAATGACTGTAAGGATGTAGTAAAAAATGATAGCAAGACTTTGTTCTTAATTCACCATAGTGTAGATGGAAGCATCTTTAATAAGATCTCTAATGCATCTATAACAAAGGAAGGATGAGATTCTTTGGAGATGTGTTTTACCGGTGATGAGAACATTGAGGAAGCTGAGACTCAAACAATTAAGGAGGGAGTATGAGCAGTTAATAGAAGAAACAAACAAGGTAACAAATTGATTATTTATGGAAGGGACAAGAGAGAAAATCTTAGATAAAAATTATCCTGAAAATAATCATGCATACTATCACACAAAATTTTGATCATATAATAGTGAGGATTGAGGATCCAAAGATGTAAAATACTATCAAGATTGAGTAACTACCGGATTCTTTGAAGGCCCAAGAATTGAAATTGTTTCAAAGGAATAAGATTAAAGTAAAAAACAATGTTTTGCAAGCACAATTCAAGAATATATGATAGGCATGAAAAAAAAAAATAGGGATTCAGGAAAGTTTATTATAGAAGAAAATAAAAAAATAAAGGAAGCAGTGGAAATGTAAGTGGTTGCAGAGTTGTTAGTTGGAGTGAGTGTATATAATTAGACCAGATCCTTTTGGAGGACAGGTTATTTTAAGAAATTGGAATTGTATACGAGTGCTAGCTCGTGTGAAGAGGCTCCTTTGTATACATTTTTCTGTTTTTTTAAGCAATAAAGAAAGAACGAAATCTTTGGAGCTTTGGGTTTTTGTTCTCCTAGTCTCTTTCTTTTATCCTTTGTTTGAGTATCCTTGGTCTCACCTACCACAACAAATCAAGGGATTTCTTTTATCATTTGTTTGAGTATCCTATCAAATTGGTCTGATCTGTCATATCAAGGGGTTATCATGGAGAGCTTGGAAAGTGGTGGCAGAATTAAAAATGGATAAATCCATTATTAAAGGTAGTCTGTCAGATATGAAAGAGCTTCTTCGAGAAATGTTTGAAAGGGGAGAAAACTCATTCAATGGAGATGATAGGAGAGAGGAAATATTGGAACAAGGGAACATATCAGATGAAGACGGCGCTGAAACTAGGGATGGCAAAACGGGTCAGCCCGTCCCGTTTTGTCCGACTAAAAGCGGGGCGGGGCGGGCTGGCACGATATAGTCATAACGGATCGTAGATCTTGCCGCCCCACCAAGAGACGGGTTGGCGGACTGACCCGCCATAATTTAGAAAAAAATATTTTTTTTAAATAATTTTTTTAATAAATTTAATAATAAAATTATTATTTGTTTCTCAATAATTCAATATATATATATATATATATATTATTTCAATTTAATAATATAAAAATACATTATTTTAAGAAATTATAATTTAGAACAATAATAAAATTTACATAATAATAAATAATAACAAATATATATATATATATATAAATAATGTTAAACTTATAAAATTTATATTTTTTATAATGAAAAATTTAAATACTTATATCTTTTTTATTTGATAAAACTTCATGTTATTCTTAGTTGAGTAATTCTTACACCTTTAATTCAAGTAATAAGGATAAAAATAATCAGTCTGCTAGGATAAACAAGGAGAACAGGTTATCTTTCGGGAAGGAGAATAATTTATGTGAGAATGAAACCTTTTTAATTATCTTTTTAAAATTTTTAACTTTATATATTATCTTTATAATTAATTTTATTACAATAAAAAATTATTTTTTTATTAATTAAGTGGGCTACTGGCTGGCCCGCCTCGTCTCGTGGGTTGGCCCGACGGGTTGACGGACTTGGCAGGACGGGTCAAAGCGGGCTGGTGGGCTGAAAACACCAATCCGTCCCGCCATATTATGGCGGGCTGGCGGGCCGGCCCGACGGGCCTAACCCGTTTTGCCATCCCTAGCTGAAGCGCTGAGATGTTGGACGAAGAGGGTGGAATTACCCACTATGGAAGGTAATGACCCTCTCGGATGGATAGTTAAGGCGGATAAATTTTTTGAAGTGCAGAATGTCAATTAAAAGGAAAAATTACGATTGGCTCTTATCAGTATGGAAGGTAACACTTACCATTGGTCTAAGTTTTGGCGTTAAAAAGAACAAGAACCCATATTGGGAGGAATTAACATCGGCTTTGAGTAGAAGATTTTGAGGCAAAGAGTGCAGTACTATCTATGAAAAATTAGCAATTATACGGAAACATGAAAAAGTTGAAGACTACATACAAGAATTCAAATTATTAGTGTCGCAAGTTCCTCATGTTGGGTATTTCTTTATCAGGCTGCAACAAGTATTTGGAATCAAATTCGTCCACATGATTCTAAAGATCTAATAAGAGCTAAGGAGATCGCTCATGATGTAGAAGAAGCATCAGATTAAAGAGCTTCTTTCCGAAATAATGCATCTAATTTTTGGTACGGTGGGGTGGTATCACGAGCTGAGATTGTGAATAACCACAGTATTTCTAATGGCATGGAAAGTACTACAGGATGAGAGAACCCACCAACACAAAAGGATCAAGAACGGGATGTAGTATGGGTTTTAGAGACAGGGGGAACACGAAATCTGTCATTATCCTAAATATGTTAGAAGGGAAGAGGAAAGGTGTTTTCATTCTGGAGGGGCTCATAATTCTGATCATAGGTGTCGAGAAAAAAATTTAGTAGTGGCTAATATGATAGTTTCGGCCACATGTGTCCAGAGAAAAATTTAAGAGTGGCCATATTAGCGGAAGATGAAGAAACGGGAAATGATGGAAAATAGGCTGAATGAAGTAGAGGAACTGATGGAGAAGAACCGGGTGGAACTAATGGCTTTAGTGTTAGCCATTCAGCACTGGAGACCATACCTCTTAGGTCAGAAATTTACTGTTTACACATATTAGAAAAGTTTGAGGTATTTACTAGAACAACGGATAACTAAAAATAACAAAATTGGTTGGTGAAATTGTTGGGTTATGAATTTGAGATAGTTTATAAAGTGAGAGCAACTAAAAAGGTGGTTAGTGGTTTGTTACTAAAATTTGAAGATTTAAATGAGGAAGAACCAGAGTTAAGTGTGTTACCTAAGCCTTTTTATAGGAAGTGCAGTTGATTGATACTGAACTTCAACAAGACCCAGTTTTAAAGAAAATTTGTGAAGACTTGCAGAGCAACCTAGATTTGCATGGTAACGACTGGTTACACTACAAGGTAGATTGGTTCTGTTAGCAAACTAAAAATGGATACCAACGTTGCAACATGAATATCACACGACACCAATGGGGGACACTCCAAAATTTTTCACACCAAACTCAACGAGTACAGCATACCATCCGGAAACTGGTAGTCAAACCGAGGTTCTAAATAGGATTCTAAAACCCTATTTGTGATGTTTCAATTCTGAACAACCTAAGACATGGGTTAATTTCGTTCCTTGGTACCAATTTCCAAGGGGATGCCAAATGTACCCTATTTGAAGTGTTGAATAGCAGGGCTCCACCTTCCTTGGTCAAATTTGCACCAAGAGAAATTGCAGTAAAAACGGTAGCACAAGATTTGATGACATAAGATGAAACTTTTAGGTAGCTAAACCATTTAGAAAGAGCTCAAGGACAAATGGTTAAATTTGATAATCGACACAAGAAAATGTCAGAGATCAAAGTTGGTGATTGGGTATATCTAAAAATCCGTCCTCATAAACAAGTATACATGCCCACAAGACTACACCCAAAGTTGTTTGCATGTTTTTTTGGCCCATACCTTGTCCTCAATCAAGTGGGACCTGTGGCGGTTGGAAATCATCATGTGGAGATAGAGCTGCTAGTTTATTTTCAAGGCCAAGCTGGGCTTTGTTTTCCAAACCAAATTCTGGATTGCAGTGTTGAGACATGTTTTTCTATATTTTTATATTCTCCGTATATGTTCCTTAGACTAGGGTTAAGAGTTTAGGTTAAAGCTCATATTCTCTGTTGTATTTCCTTTATCTATAAATACAATATAATAGTACCTTTCGACATTGTATTGAACCCTTAAATAAATTTCTCAAGTTGGTATCAGAACGGGTACGATCCCGCACTAATTTCTGATCATCCTTATCATCTCTAGCCATCGTGGGCCGCCATTCGCCTAACCACCGTCTTAATTTGGTTTGGTGAAGGTGGGATTTTGTACGCCTCAAAGAACATGATCCACCCTCGCCAAGCGTTGTCAGGCATATCTTCTCCAGGCGGAGCTCTCAGGTGCATGTATCCCACTCGCCGCCCTTCAGTGGCCAGAATCAAGGCCGATTACCACTGATCAACTTGTCGGCATCCACCGAGTCCAGTGGTGCCCTTATTTTTTCTGTTTTGAAAACTTTTGAAGCTAGGTCAGGTGGGTACCCCTATTGGTTAGATTTATCTTTCATTTCTGATTTAGATGGCTTCATCTAGTGCTTTTTCTTTCTCTGCTACTCTCACCATAACCAGTGTCAAACTTATTTGGAAAAATTATTTATCCTGGTCTGCATCAGTTGAACTATGATTTCTAGGTCAGGGATATCATGACCATTTGGAGAAAGATGTGAACTCTGTTTTTGCCTCAAAAAAGTCTCAATGGGAGAAACTAGACTTCTAGTTGGTGCAATCTTATGACAATATGTGGAACCTGAGGTTCTTGAGTTTTTCAGGTCATTCAAAACCTGCTCTTCTGCTATGGTTGCTCCTCATGGTCGAGGGGGAGGACGTAACAGTCAAGAAGAATGTGGGAGTACAAAAGGTCATCCTTAATGCTTCTATTGCAAAAAGATGGGACACACACAAGAAAACTACTATTCCTTACATAGTTTTCCTGACAGGAATACTATTGTCCATGTCTCTAAGTCTGAAAAACAACATACGAAGATCTTTGATGAGGAGTATCAAGAGTTTTTGAAGTTCAAAACAAGAAAATTCAACAGTTAGGATTAATCTTCTTCAATGCCTAGTATTTCAACAACATGCATTTCTCAATCTGTGGAAGGTCAAACTCATTGATTCTTGATTTAAGTGCCTCTAATCATATATCTAGTAATAGTTCCTCATTTTCCTCCATGTCCTATCCTAAAATTCCTCATTTGATTACTGTGGTTAATAGATCTAAAGTAAAGTCACAAGAAATTGGCCATGCATGTTCCTTTAACCCCTTCTCTGAATTTAAATTTTATTCTTTTCATTCCTAATTGCCCTTATAATTTGATTTCTCTATGTCAATTAACTTGTTCTTTGAATTGTTCTGTTTGAAGGACATGAATCACGTGGTCTGTACTATAAATTCAAGTCCTTCGGTGTCATATCTTCTTCTGCTCTTAAAATTTTGCATGATCGTCTGGGTCATCCAAATTTACCAAAATTGAAAGTAATGACTCCTAATCTCAAACATCTTTAAGGTTTAAAATGTGAATTTTGTCAATTAGGAAAACATGTTAGATCTACCTTTCCTAAACATTTTGAAACTCGATGTAATTTTCCTTTTTCAGATATTCATTTTGATGTTTGGGGACCGAGTCGTGTCTCTTCACTTGACTTCCAATATTTTGTAATCTTTATTGATGAATTTTCCATATGTACTTGGGTTTATATAATGATTTAATGAAAGACATGTCTGAAATTTTGTCCATTTTTGTATCTTTTTTCCATGAAATTAAAAATCAAATTGGAAAGATAATTAAAGTTCTTATAAGTGATAATGCTAAAAAATATTTTTCAGCCTCCTTCTCTTCTTTTTTATCTTCCTAAGGCATTTTACATCAGTCAACTTGTTGTCACACTCCACAACAAAATAGTATTGCAGAAAGGAAAAATAGGCATCTTATTGAGATTGTATGTTCTCTAATGTTGAATGTCAATGTCCCTATTCATCATTGGGGAGATGCAGTTCTCACTACTAGTTTTCTGATCAATCGAATGTCATCTTCTTTTCTTTAAAATCAAATTCCTCGTTCCTTTATCTTTCCATATAATCCTCTTTATCATGTGTCTCATCATGTACTTGGTTGTACTTGTTTTGTACATAATATCTCTCCAGCTCTTGATAAGCTAAGTGTTAAGGCCATAAATGTGTCTTCTTGGAATACTCTCCACTCCAACAAGGGTACAAATGTTATTCCCTATCCATCAAAAGGTATTATGTGTCTGCTAATGTCACCTTCTTTGAGGAAACACCCTTCTTTTAACCCCTTATGGAGGATGGTTTCTCTATTCAAAATGTTCCTCCTATACCCTCATGTAATCCACTTATAATACATAATCCTTCTCCAATTCAACCTACAAATCTCAATGATTCTCCTTCTCTTCTTACATATCATCGCAGGACCCCACCTACACCTTTACCAGATTCTGCAGATAATCGTGCTTCAGAACCTTCTCCATCAACTTCTCATATCATGAATCTCTTTCCTATTTATAATTTTTAAGTTACCATTGTTTGTCTCTTTCATATTCCTTTTGTTGTTTTTTTAGCTGACACCACTATTTTTAATATTGTCTATGAGGCTCTTGTATTAGGTCTTTCGAGGGGGGATTCACAAGGGAGAAACACACCAATGAGACTTGAGTTCAAACCCACTGTCGATCAACTTTCGGCTCTGATACCACTTATTGGGTTTTTCGAGGGGGGATTCACAGGGGAGAAACACACCAATGAGACCTAAGCCCAAACCACATAAAAATTGACACCACTCTCAACCCAAAACCTTAAGGCATTGGGTTATGAGTCATACTTCCTTATATGCTGTTCAACATTTTCATTGTTACCCAATGTGAGACTTAGAATCACACTTGTATTTCTTAACATCTTGATCATCATGGATGGCAACAAGCCATGATTGATGAAATGCAAGCTCTTGAGCACAATGGCACTTGGGAGTTTGTCCCTCTTCCTGCTGGCAAAAAGGTTGTAGGTTGTAAATGAGTCTATTGCAGTTAAAGTTCATAATAATGGTAAAGTGAATCGTCTTAAAGCTCGTTTAGTAACTAAAGGTTACACTCAAATTTATGGTCTCGTCTACTGTGATACCTTCTCTCCATTAGCTAAGTTTTCCACTATTCGTCTTTTCCTTGTTATGGCTGTTATTCGTCATTGGCTTTTTCACCAACTGGACATTAAAAATGTCTTTCTTCATGGTGACCTTGAGAAAGATTTATATGGAACAACCTCCTGGTTTTATTGCTCAGGAAGAGTCTGGTTTAGTGTGCAAGTTACGCTGGTCTCTTTATGGCTTGAAACAATCACCCCGATCTTGGTTTAGGAAATTCAGTCATGTCCAATTGTTTGGCTTGAAAAGGAGTGAAGCAGATCACTCAGTGTTTTATTGTCATTCTTCTTTAGGAAAATGTGTGTATCATATGGTTTATGTTGATATTGTTATTACACACAATGATTATAATAAGATTAGTCAATTGAATAATCATCTATTTGCTCATTTCCAAACCAAAGATCTTGGTCAATTGAAGTATTTCTTTGGTATTGAAGTGTCTCAGTCAAAGGAAGGGATGATCATTTCTCAAAGTAAGTATATTCTTGACATTCTGGAGGAGATAGGTGTAACATATTGTAAACTCATTGATACCCCAATGGACCCTAATCAGAAATTGATGGGAGATAAAGGAGAAAAGTTGTCAGACCCAGAAAGATACAAGAGGTTGGTTGGTAAACTCATTTATCTTATTATTATCCGACTGGATCTCTCTTATGCAGTTAGAGTAGTTAGCCAATTTATGCAAAATCCTTGTACTTATCACTGGGATGCCTTGATTCGCATTCTGAGATATTTAAAGGAGCCTCAAGACAAGGATTGTTATATGAATATAAAAGTAATACTCAAATTCTAGGTTATTGTGATAAAGATTGGGTTGGTTGTCCCATTGATAGAAAATTTACTATTGGGTATTGTATCTTTATTGGGGGGATTTTGCTTTCGTGAAAGAGTAAAAAGCAAAGTGTTGTTGCTCGATCTAGTACAAAAGTTGAATATAGATCTATGGCACTTGTTACCTGTGAACTTGGGTGGATCAAACAACTCCTTCAAGAATGAAAATTTTGTGATAATAGGCAGATGAAGTTGTTTTGTGATAATCAGGCAGCTCTCCTTATTGCCTCCAAACCAGTGTTTAATGAAAGAACAAAGCATATCGAGATTGATTGTCACTTTGTTTGAGAAAAATTAGTGTTTAAGGAACTTGTAACTGAATTTGTAAGCTCCAATGAACAACTGACGGACATTTTAACTAAATCTTTGAGAGGACCTAGGATTCAGTTCATTTGTTCCAAGCTTGGTGCATACAATCTACATGTTCCCGTTTGACAAGGAGTGTTGAGACATGTTTTTCTATCTTTTTGTATTCTCTGTGTATGTTCTTAGATTAGGGTTAAGGGTTTGGACTGAGGCCCATATTCTCTCTGTTATATCTCTTTTATCTATAAATACAATGTAACAGTACCTTTTAACACTGTATTGAAACCCTACATAAATTTCTCAAGTAGCAGAATTGCCAAGCATTAGGATGAACAAGGTATAGGGTGCAATGATGGGAGGGGGGGTCCAAACGCAACAACATGGGAAGATATTTCAACAATACGCGACCAATTTCTTGAATTCAACCTCGAGGACAAAGTTGTTTTAGAGGCAGCGTGTAATGGTAGGCAAGGATAAAATAAGGGGATCTAGAAAGTTTATTATTGAAGAAAAAAAATAAAGGAAGCGGTGGAAAAGTTTATTATAGAAGAGAAAAATAAAGAAAACAGTGAATAAAGGATGCTATGGAAAAGTAAGTGGTTGCGATGTTGTCGGTTAGGAGTTGGTCTATATAATAAGACCAATCATATCCTTTTGGACGACATGTTTTTTCTAAGAAATTGAAATTGTAAACAAGTGTTAGCTCATGCGAAAGGAGAGAGCTCCTTTGTATGTATTTTTCTATTTTTTTGTAAGCAATGAAGAAAGAACAAACACCACTTTTACTCTTTGGAGCTTTGAGTTTATATCATCTCTTTCTTTTATCATTTGTTCGAGTATCCTATCAGTATATGCAAGGTGGAAAGAAAAAACAAAAGAAACCTCTTAGGAAAGGTTGAAACCCTAATCAATAGAAGTTCAAGCATATACAAAGTTGAGTCTCACTACAAGGAGGAGCTTGGTCCTTCTTTCCAATCCAAACAAAGAAAAAAGGATAGGAAGGAGATGCAGGGCTTTGTGTGTTGCAAATTTGGTCACATTAAAAGGAGAATCAACAAGAAGAAATTGTAGTTGAAATGTAGTTGAAGATGATTATGATTTAGAAAAGGTACGTCATTATCAAGATCTTGGTTGTTCTAACCATATGATAGTGAAGATTGTTGATTTCGACACAAGCATATCAATAAAAGTAAAACTTGTTGATAGCAATACTTCAACTTCTAAGGGAAGATTATGATTAAAAGGAAAGATGACGAAAGAATACTGATTAAGAATGTACTATTTGTGCCAAGTATGCAATGTAATCTCATTAGTGTAGTAATTGATTGAAAAGAAATTCCCAATAGTTATGCAAGATAATTCTCTTAAATTGCTTGATCCGAAGAAGAGGTTGATGCTTAGGTCTTCACTCTTAAAAAACAACATTTCAAGCTAACATTGATAATGCAAATGCAAGGTATTTAATAGCAAAACAACTGAGTAAGATCTGACTTAAGCATCTAAGAATTGGTCGTATTTTTATGTATGTGGACCTTTTGAGGTCTAGGGGGCAACAAATATTGTGTCTTTTGTTTATGAGAATGACATACTTATATGGCTATATTTGATAAAAGATGAAAAGTGAAGGATTTTTGGTTCTCCATGATACAAATTTGTTTTTAATGCTAGGAGAAGGAAGTTAAGACAAGGGTAAGCCTATGATTTTTATCATCCAATTGTGAATATAGGTGGTATAATTTTGTAAATCAAAAAATTGAGATAATCCTGTGAAGTAGATTACATAACTGGTACATTTGCTTCTTGCTAAGCAGTATTGACTGACTCTGGTTTGAGGGAGTTATAAATTGATTGACTCTGTTGTGTGCAGCCTATGCCCTATTTTTAGGCTCGTTATTTTGTTTCCTTTGTCTACTTCCATGCAGTGGGGATGGTTATGGTAGAAACCTCAACGATGATATTGAGGATCTCAGAGGTGATGATAATGGTCATGATAGTGATGTCAACAATGCTTAAGTTATTAGTGATTGAAACAACCATAATGATAGTGACATCGGTCATGATGGTGATAATGACGAGTTAATATAATAATGAAGAAAATTTATGTAGACTGAGAAATTTTATGAGAACTTTTAAAGATTTTATTTTTATTTTATGAATATTTATAGATTTTATCATGAGAATAATGTCAATAACACTCAAGGTAGTAGTAATTGAATGATCACAATAATAGTAACATCGGTCATCAGTCATGACGATGGTGACGAAGATGAGTTAATTATAGTCATGAAAAAATTTTATGACTATTGAGATATTTTATGATAACATCTTTTAGAGATTTTAATTCTGTTTTTAAAGATTTTAATTCCATTTTATGAATATTTAGATATTTATGGTCATGAAGAAATTTGATGCCAATTGAGATATTTTACGATAAGATCTTTTAGAGACTTTAATTATATTTTATGAATATTTAGATATTTTAAAATATTATAATTGTTAGATATGATTAGATATTAGTTGATATTATTTGATATTGTTAGATATTGTTAATCACAATATCAAATAATATCTTTTTATTTACTCTATTTGTATTCTGTTACTCTTTTGAGGAGTACCTTTCTTTATTATAAATACACTGCCCTATGTGTGGTAAATACATAAGGGAAATTAACCCTATACAGTTTTTCCCTATATTCAACATGGTATCAGAGCCAAAAGCCTAACATCTTTCCGGTTATTGTCATGGGCCAAAAGTTGCCCTTTAGTTAGGTCAAAAGTACCATTTGCCTGGTCCGGCAGGCTTCATTGGAGGGGGTGTGTTGAAAGTCCCACATCGTCTACCTCATATCATTTGGTATGGTTTAAATACATGTTAGGCTACTCCACATATTGCCAATTGGTTTTATGTTGGAACCTTAACATGGTATCAGAGCAACGATCAAAGTTTTTCATGGTTTTGATGTTACACGGACTTGCTGATAAATATGCCCCTGTTCGTGACCAGATTTTGGGTTCCCCTGTTACACCCAGTTTTACCGCTACCAGTTCCTCCCTTTTGCGGGTGCCATGTAAACCTCTCAATATTCCCCCTGTAGTTTCTAATGATTCATCTGCCTTGGCCTCTCACCGTGATGATCGTAATCGCTCTCACAAGCCAGGCAAAGGGCGTGTCAAGTGTGACCATTGTGGCAAACTAGGCCACAAAATTGACAAATGTTATGCTTTACATGGTTATCCTCGCCGATCTGCTGCAGTTGCTCAGACTGATTCTTCCGCACAATCCTCTGCTGTGGATCCTCCTTCGTCTGTACCTTCAGACAAATATGCTATCTTCAATGATTTTCTTCAATGGTATGAGGATCGAAAGCCCTCCAGTTCCACTACTTCGTTGCCCACACAGGTACATCTTTTGCTGGTCCGACTCACTCTTCTTCTATTGGCCCTTGGGTTCTTGACTCGAGCGCCACCGATCACATCACTCGGTAACAAATCCTTATTTTCCTCTTTCACTTCTTCTCATAATTTACCCTCTGTTACAATGGCTAATGGGTCTACAACTTTAGCTCATGGTGTTGGAACAGTTACTCTTTTCCCTCGTTGTCCATTGATAATGTTTTGTATGTACCCGGGTCCCCCTTTAACTTATTATCCATTAGCCGTCTAACTCGATCTCTTGATTGTGTTATCTCTTTTACCAAAACTTCGTTTCCCTACGAACCGGAGCTCGCAAAGAGTGATTGGCACCGGATGTGAGTCACATGGACTTTATTATCTTCAACCTTCTCCACATGTTGGCACGGTTATGGAGTCTCCTTCTCTCCTTCATGCTCAGCTTGGTCACCCCGACCTGCGCAAATTACGAGCAACTTGTTCCCAGCTTATCCCAGTTGTCCAATTTGGTGTGAGTCCTGTCAGTTAGGCAAACATAGTCGTACTTCCTTTTCTCGTAGTGTTTCCCAGCGTGTTTCATCCCCCTTTGCCTTAGTTCACTCTGACATTTGGGGACCCAGTCGTGTTAAGTCTAATTTAGGTTTTCAATATTTTGTTACTTTTATTGATGATTTCTCTCGTTGTACTTGGTTATTTTTAATGAAAAATCGTTCTGAGTTGTTTTCTATATTCCAAAACTTTTATCATGAAATTAAAAATCAATTTGGCGTCTCTATTCAAACTTTTCGAAGTGATAATGGCCGTGAATATCTTTCAAACTCGTTTAAACAATTTATGGCTTCTCATGGCATTCTTCATCAACTTCCTGTGCTTATACCCCTCAACAAAATGGGGTGGCTGAGCGCAAGAATAGACACCTTATTGAAACAACCCGTACTCTTTTAATTCATGGTGAGGTTCCTCAACATTTTTGGGGTGATGTTGTTCTTACTGCCTGTTATCTTATTAATCGTATGCCTTCTTCGGTTTTAGATAACAAAATTCTCCATTCTATTTTATTTCCTCATGACACTCTCCATCCTTTACCTCTGAAGGTTTTTGGGTCTACCTGTTTTGTCCACAATTTTGATCCTGGTCATGATAAGTTATCTCCTCGATCACACAAATGTGTTTTCTTAGGATTTACTCGATCCCAAAAAGGATACAAGTGTTTTTCTCCTTCTCTTAATCGCTATTTTGTGTCTCGCCGATGTCACCTTCAATGAGTTTTCCTTTTACTTTAAGGACCCTTCCCTACCTGCTGAGTCTCCATCTCGCTACAGTTCCCATTCCCTGTTCTCATTGATCCTTATGTTGAGGACCATCCACCATTAGCCCCTCCTCCTCCACCACCCCTTCAGGTTTATAGTCGCAGACCTCGCCCACAACAGACGCCACATGACTCACTCCCAGTGCCAAATACTCGCCTCCTCCGGTTCCGTCCACAGAGTCCGACCTTCCTATTGCCCTTCGTAAAGGTACGTGTTCTACTCGTAATCCTTCTCCACATTATACTCGTTTTAAGTTATCATCGAATTTCTTCACCATTTTATACCTGTCTCTCGTCTATTTCTTCCGTGTCTATTCCTAAATCTGTCTCTCGAAGCCTTAGCCCACCCTGGTTGGCGTCAGGCCATGCTAGATGAACTCGGTGCTCTTCAGACTAGTGGAACCTGGACGCTTGTCCCATTACCATCTGGAAAATCTGTTGTTGGTTGCAGGTGGGTCTTCGCTATCAAGGTTGGTCCTGATGGTACTATTGATCGCCTCAAAGCTCGCCTTGTAGCCAAAGGCTATACCCAAATTTTTGGGTTGGATTATGGTGATACTTTCTCTCCAAGTGGCAAAGATGGCTTCGTTCGTTTATTCATTGTCATGGCTGCTATTCAACAATGGCCTCTTTATCAACTGGATGTCAAAAATGCTTTCTTGAATGGCGATTTGCAAGAAGAGATTTATATGGAGCAACCTCCCGGATTTGTTGCTCAGGGGGAGTCTTCTGGATTGGTATGTCGTCTTCGCAAATCCTTATATGGCCTAAAACAGTCTCCTAGGGCCTGGTTTGGAAAATTTAGCAGCATTGTTCAACAATTTGGCATGACTAGAAGTGAGGCAGACCACTCAGTCTTTTACCGTCACTCGAATGCTGGATGTATCTATTTGATAGTGTATGTCGATGACATTGTTCTTACAGGTAGTGACCATCATGGCATCTCTCAGATGAAACAACACCTTTGTCACCATTTTTAAACCAAAGATCTTGGCAAACTCAGATATTTCTTGGGTATTGAGGTAGCACAATCTACCGATGGCATTGTTATATCTCAAAGAAAGTATGCATTGGATATTTTGGAGGAAATTGGGTTGATGAATTCAAAGCCTGTTGACACACCCATGGATCCTAATACCAAACTCTTGCCAAATCAGGGGGAGTCAATGTCAGATCCTGAACAGTATAGAAGATTAGTTGGAAAATTAAATTATCTTACAGTTACTCGCCCTGACATTTCCTTTGCAGTCAGTGTGGTGAGTCAATTCCTCAATTCTCCTTGTCAAGATCATTGGAATGCGAGTCATCCGTATATTGAAGTACATCAAAAAGTCTCCTGGAAAAGGTTTGGTGTATGACTCCCATAATCATACAAGAGTTGTCTGCTATTCGGATGCTGATTGGGCAGGATCTCCCTCGATAGAAGATCTACATCCGGGTATTGTGTTTCCATTGGTGGTAACTTGATCTCATGGAAAAGTAAGAAACAAAGTGTTGTGGCAAGATCCAGGTGCAGAAGCGAGTATAGAGCTATGGCCTCAGCTACTCGTGAACTTATTTGGCTCAAGCAATTGCTTAAAGAGCTACAATTTGGAGATGTCACTCAAATGACACTAGTGTGTGACAATCAGGCTGCTCTCCATATAAGCTCTAATCCTGTCTTTCACGAGAGGACTAAACACATTGAGATTGACTGCCATTTTATTCGGGAAAAGATTATGTCTGGAGACATCAAGACTGAGTTCATTAACTCATGTGATCAATTAGCAGATATTTTCACTAAGTCTTTACGGGGACCTAGGATGGATTATCTTTGTACCAAGCTAGGCACATACGATTTGTATGCTCCAGCTTGAGGGGGAGTGTTAGATATGATTAGATATTAGTTGATATTGTTTGATATTGTTGAGATATTGTTAGATATTGTTAATCACAATATCAAATAATATCTTTTTATTTACTCTATTTGTATTCTGTTACTCTTTTGAGGAGTACCTTTCTTTATTATAAATACACTGCCCTATGTGTGGTAAATACATAAGGGAAATTAACCCTATACAGTTTTTCCCTATATTCAACAATAATAAATTCTAATTAAATATTTTACACTAAATGGTCTGTTTCGATCTAGACAGTAGTGATCATTAATCCTTCTCATCTCACACCAAAACTTTTTCTCACATGACACAAACATAGATAGTCTAACCTGTGCCAGAAGTTTTCATAACACTCTCCATTTTTTCATCGTTTGAATCCTTCGACAAGCAACCATAACCTGACCTCTTTGTGGAAACATTAACCATGCCAAACTCCATCTTCAGTTCAGGATCTGCACATTGACCTTTGAAAGGCTCCATGAAACAAAACCTGATATGATATAGCAAACAGAAATCACAAAAGAATAAAACACAACGAATGCAAACAAAGTTGATTTTTTTTATTTCACCCTGGTTTACACAGTGACATCAGACTTTTGATGTGAAATATATTTTACCATACCATTGCACGGGTAATTTGCTGCTATTAAAACCAGTAGGTAATATTCTCCACTTTCTGCACTTGTCACATTGAACCCACTCATGATCAGGTTTCAATACACAATTATCTTTGTCCTGGGAAAGTAATAAAAGTAGAAGTTAGTACAAGTTCCAGGGAAGGAAGATATGTGCAAGTTTCTGATTTTTCGCATGCAAGAACACAAGTGTAGATCTACTTCATATGAAAATCCTATTTAATCAGCCGTAACAATGTTGGAATCCATGTCTTACAAAGCGAAACCAAGTACATGTCATTCTTAGGACACATCTTGTGTAAAGTGGACATCGTACAATTTAAATTGAATACTTGTACCAAATTCAATAAACTGAAACAACCTTGGATGACAGCTTAATTTGATATAATAGTAACAAGAACTTCAAAAAGAACTCTAGTTTTGATAGAATTTAAAGAGCTCTACCAATTTAAGTGAGTCAAAATTGTTGTCCCAGTATTCATCTGCTTTTCTACCCAGCCACCGCTCGAGACATGCATATTGTTCTGAGTCTTGAAATCCCTGCTTGTTATTATGTACCCAAACCCGACCATCCTTATCATCCTATGCCAAAAGAAAGAAAAAAGTACAGGAATTTAGATATTGTACAGAGTGAAAAAAATTCGAATGAAAATAACATCAAACTGTTTCATATCACTCTGGCAGATTGTACAAACACACAAGAACATTATCAAATTAAATGAAGAACAACAAAAGGTTCAACGCCTCTCTATCTAATACCATTTTATTAAGTGAAATTCATGAAAATTTTGAATTCCACCGAATAATAATATTTGAAACAATCTGTTGTCAATCCTCATAATCCAACAAGGCTTCACTTGTTAGGCAAACCATGCAGAGAAATAAGATACTTTAAGAAAATGAAATTGGAAAGTAAATACCATTAAATTCGTAACATCTATAACACCAATTACACCACGGCCAACATCTGCACTATGAATCATTCCACCAACTCTTTTGTAGGCCTGAGAAAAACAAACATATTTAGGCTTACTTTCTTATGAAAAGTAATCATGTAAAGCATGCACAGTTAACTCCATCATATTGACTGACCACAAGAACCTCAAGGATATTAGTCTCAAGTTATTCAGACACCTGTACAACAAGTATACCCTCCTAAATTACTTGAGTATGACCATTCAACAAGATACGTAAGAGCAATGTGGTTGTTGATGCCTTATCTTTCACAATCATTTCAAAACCCACTGAGTCTATCTTTTATACTCTATGCCCCATTTGACTTTTCTGGAACAACTGCCTTTAGAATTGCCCAAAATTAAGTGTACTGAGTACTAAAATTCAACAGGAACCAGCTTCTTAATCTGATTACATTGTTCACAATGACCTCATTCTATTCCAGGGAAATTTTTGGCTGAACTCTGGTAACCCTCTCAAATGTATCTTGCTTGAAGAGTTTCGTTTACGAATATGAATATTTAATTTGGCCCATTGTATGATGGGACCAAATCAAGAATATGCTATAGGTAGAAAGACTAAATTAAGAGTGCACTACAAGTAGGGAACCAAATTGAAAATGTGTTGGAAGGTAACACTAATAGGGTATAAATCATTCAGATTTCACATATATAGAGACTGATTTAATAGAATTTTTGTGTAAGGACTAGATTGAGAATTCACTACACATGTAGGGATTAAATTATATGTTTAAAGCATATGAGACTCATGCCGGAAAGAATCAACGTTTTTAAAACCGAACCATTAACTGAACCAGTAAAAACATGGGTTCAGCTTCTACAGGATTCATTCGGATTAAATTGGATTTAATAAAATAATATTTTTATAATATAATAAATATATAACAAGTTTATTAGTACTAATATTTAAAAAAAAAATAATAATAATAATAAAGATTCCTGTCATATTATACTAAAAATTATAAATATAAAATATATTAGAGAATATAAGATAAATAATTATTAAGATAAGATAAAAATATAATAAAATAACTATTATTTAAAGTTTACGTGATTAATATAAAATTAAAAAAAAAAACTAAATTAAAATATATTATATGTTTTATAAAAGAAATTATATTAAAAAAAATTGATACTAAATTTTTTTTTACCAAAATCAGTTCGACCTAAAAACAACGCCAGTTTTTTCGGTTTTGTCCCATTTAATTAAAATCCTATTATTTAGAAGCAATGGTTTCTACTCCGATTTCCGGTTGAACCAACCAGTCCGATCCGATTTTCAAAACAGTGGAAAGAATACACAGAAAACTCATGACTACATGATTATTAAACCCATTAAAATACCATTTGGAAAATCCAACATTTCCCAACTGTACAAGGACATACAATACCCCAAAATCTTCATATTTTCAGGTATTCCACGACTATTTTAATGGATATTAATCAACAATAGCAAACAAGACAACTCCTCACCTCAATTAAGCGACCATGCCAATACAAAAACATTCCACAATTTGCCCGCTCCCACTCTAATTGACTAAATCCAAGAATTAATTCAACGGGCCTCATCAAGATGTCACCAGTTTCAATAACAGTTTGAGTCAGGAATTTTGATAATGGTCGAGTTTTAACCTGAGTAAAAACAAAAGAAACAGTTAGGTTGTAGACTTGGAAGGCTGAAACATAAGCTTCACTACCTCTAACAAACAATTTAGAACACAAGAATGCTATTACCAATGTCCTTTGTACACTAATCTTCATTCGAGGAACTAAGAATATAATTTCTAAATAAGCTCGTAATGAGTAATCCAATGGAACCTGTAGATCATAGAAAACATGAAAAAAGATGCATATTATCAACTGCCAATATCACTAGTAAAAGATATGCCAAACCTTTTGACTGATCTGGCCTGGACGAGAACGAGTCCTTTTGTTGTGGATAACAATGTCACCTTGGTGAAAAGAACTCCCACCTTTCAATCCATCATGCCATTCTAAACAATACTTTGATCCCCATTCATCCAAGTTCCATATGTATATTTGTGTTCCTGTACCAGTACCAAACAAGGCTGCCTTTTCACCAATAAGATACTTGTTAAATGGTGAAAAATCCTTAATAGCTTTCAAATTGTGTTTTGCCAAAGCTTCAGACTGCACACTTAGGTCAACTTCCATTCGTTGTCCTTGTCGACAATAGCTAACTATTGGAATTTCAATATTCTGCAAGCAAATAAAATAATTAAACAGACAAAATAATTTAAAAGAATGGATTCAACTTTTGGAGTAGTAAATTAACTCCAATTAACATAACATCTATTTACAAGGTCATAAATTTTTGAAGATGGCGTAACTTACATCTTTGCCTTCATTCAATGATTGTGAAAGAAAAGCTAGTGATCTGGAATTAGTTGTCTGTGTTAGAACCAGAACATCTCTCCCAAGTCTCATTGCTCCCGTCTATGGAAGAAAGGCAAAAAGAACAATACTTCAGAATTCACTGAAGCAAGAACAAATAGATGAGATTGAAAGGACATTATAATTTATAATTTCTTCCAAATTAGCATGGAAGAGAACAAAGTCATGAACTGAAATTTATTCCTTAGTACAAAGCATGTGAGTCCATCCAACTCTCAGAATATGCAACAAAGGCAAACCCAGTAGTTAACCTAGTTAAACCCCAGATACAAAAGATAGAACCATTTAACCAATCCCCTGTCCTAAAATACCAGATATAAGTTACATAGTTCATAAAAGAAGATAAGATAGAAAACTACTTTGAATCCAACACCAAATTTGCCAATGTGATCCTTGTCAACTTTATCAGATTGCTTGTGTCCAAAAGATACCATTTTCATAACCTCATCATGGTTCATCCCTTGACCGTCATCAATAACAGACAGCATGGGGATATCCTTCCGAGATTTCTTCAACTGGATGATATCTACAAAAATGTCCATTCTGTAGCATCAAAGACAGCAATAATAATAAGCCAGTAGAAAGAGGAAAAATAACTCAGCTGATTTAATTTTAAAATCTTAGGCATCAACTTATTCTCTTTCCTAAGCTTCTATTCCAAATGATTCAAGTAAAACAAGCAAAAAGGGTTAGGTGATGTCTACACCTTGTACTTTCTACAAAAAAAGTTAAGAAACATACATAGATAAACACAAGTAACTGTGTATGCGGCACTCGTTAATTTATCAAAAAACATTTGAAGCAGGCACTCAAGATCTTCTCTAAAAGGGTGAGAAATAAAGAAATGCAGAAACATTAGTCTTAATTACTTCCACTGCATGTTTTTGGAATTTATGAATTCACCTAAGGAAGAAGAGAGAAAGAATAGACAAATCCCAGTCCAAACACCAAAAAATCTAGATATCATACTTTTTTTCCTTAACTCAGCTGTTTGAAATTTCAGAAAATCATAGTCTTTCTTAACATTTTACACATCAAACCAAAAGCAGCAATAGGATGTTGAATTCCTATATTGCCTATTCACACTCATGCGTTTCAAGAAATTTAATAAAGTACAAGGGAAAACAGAGTAAATTAAAGATTTAAAATAGTAGGTTAACTGACAGGTAAGAAATGAGATATTAGCGCAGGAAAGAAAATATAAAACCTACTTAGCTGCTTTGGCATCCTTGGAGTTATCAACAAGCTCAGCTATTCCACCAAAAATCCATCCAGAATGAGCCTGGCCAAGAGTTTTAAGGTAACTTGGGTCTGCCCGTATGAAATTTTTCATAGGGACTTTAGATTGAAATTCATTGCAAGATTCTTCAGCTCGAGGAAACATAAGATGTTCAACTGTATTTGGTCCATGACATTCCTCTAAGTGCGAACCTGCCAAGGAAGTATCTACTACAAATTATGTTCACTTATGTAAATAAGAGACAGTAACTAAAATAAAGTATTACATTGTGTTCTTTCCTATGTATAAAACAATTCCAAATTCCAAACTAAATAACCCTGAGCTACAAATATGATTCTCCATTTCAATTGCAAAAGATAGAAGACAACTTTATCTCCTAAACCTAATAATATGTGTGCATCAGTTATTTCAATCTACTGGTGTTATTTTGTGTATGCACATTGCACAACATTTTGTATGCAATGTTTTTGTACAATTAGGCATTGACTGCTGAGAACAAAAAAATTCAGCCAAAGAAGGAACACCTGATTCACAATCCCTTGGACGAGTATCTACAGAGCCTGTATTATCTATATCATATGCAACATTGACTGGGGTAGATGTTGAAGCTATAGCAGGAGGTAAAATGTAGAACTTGTACTGCTCAAAGTTTATAAGAGCAACCTGCAAAAAAACAAAGTGTTTGTGATTTTCATTTAACTGCTCAAAATAACATAGCTAAAATAACGACAGAAATCAATCTTTTTTTTTACTCAATTCATTGATCATGGATATGTAATAAATGTTAGCATTGATAAGATCATGTGAAAGGAACCAGGGCCTAAATCAGCTAGAGGAAAAGCTACTGCAAAGAAAATAAAATTAATAAAAAAACTAATAAAACCAACCACCCTCCTTTCTAAGATCCAAATATCTTTTCAGATAGTAAGGCTGGCCAACAATAAAGTTGAGGCTTGGCCGGTTGGCCATGGATTCCAATGTAGAAACAACCTCTTTGCATGTGAAAGGGTAAGACTATGCACAATTGACCTTACCCCATACCTTAGACTAGCAAGGAGGCTTGTGGCAACAAGGTATAGTTTATTTTATTTTCTTGTTTAACATTGTAAAAATGGTGAGAAAGATAATAGATGGATCATAGTCAGTTAAAGTTAAATGAGCATACTCCCATTATGCAACTGTGGCTTTTACATTTTAATATAACTATATGCAGCCAGACATTCATGGTGCCAACTTAAATAACCAACAGGGGCATCCTAGTACTCCCCATCCCTGGAACAGACCTATGTTGCAGAAAAACAACTAAAAATCTGCATTTCCCCCAATAAACTTACTAACCACTAACGGATTGAAACCTGTATCGTGTGTGTTTATAGAAAAGAATTAGAAATCATTGCAACAAACAAGATTAAACAAACCCTATGTTATATATATATATGTTAGTGCCTTCACAGTATCAATACCAAAAAACTAAGCAAAACCTACGCATGGACTATTTTGAACTTGAGTAATTATTGAGTGTTGGATAGATAGCCATGTGTGTCCTGTAAGTGCTGACCCTGTATATGTACAACTTAGTACAGGTACCAGTATCCATTTACCAAAGGTCTTAAGTTACTGTCATTTTCTCTTTTAATTTATAAAACAAGAGGACTTTTCTCTTCGTATCTTCCCATATCATTGAGTTTGCCCCCTTTGTGATTTTCAGAATGGACAGTGTAACATTTTCTCAGAACAGGAAAAAAAAATCCATCAAAATAAACAGTGTCAAACACATCATCATAGAAATAAATAAATTGTTTTATTTAAAACTATTTTTTCTAATAAAAATTTTGTCAAACATTTTCTCATTTTATTTTATAATTTTTAATAAATTGGTAAAAAAATGTAATTTTATTGTCACATTAATTTTATTTTAAAATGTTTTTTTTACATAATGACTTGTTTCTAATATATTTGCACATGCACGTATCTACAATTGCTTGTAAAGGTAAGAAATAATAAAAATAATCTTATGAAACCAAATAAACCTGTAACTAATATAATATTTTTAATTGTATTATCATTATTAACACTAAAATCTCATGTTTTTTCTATTAATGAAACATCCTCATTCAACAAATCATTATATTAGAGTCTCGTTTGAATTGAAAAGTTATTCCTATATTACATTATTCGTGTACAACATTCAATAGGCAATAAACATTTTTTTAAAAATGTAAAAAAAAAAAAAGCTGAACCTATGGAGTGAAAGCAACACAATACATAACACTAGGGTACAAGACAGAAATTTAAGGGGTCGTTCATTTCATTGTTGTTTATCAAAAAATAGAAATATAAAATGTCATGTAATAAGATTCGGAGAGCGAGTACAGTGTAAAGCGTTTTTAACCTAGAACTAAACTTCTCACTATGACTTTTTAAAAGCTCTGTATATTTAGTTCTGTTCTTCTTGAATAAGCTACTTAAATTTTAGTTTTGTTCTTGTTAAACTTCTCTCTGACTTTTTAAAAGCTCTGCATTTTTTAGTTTTGTTCATTTAAATAAGCTACTTAAATTTTTGATAGATTTTTTCAAACATTGGTTATCCCGCACTCCCATTTTTAGAAGAAAAAAAAAAATCAAAATAGATTGGGCCATCCTTACTATCGAAGCAAGTTAGCAACCAATACAATTCCACCAATCCATCACAAGTACAAACAATATAAAGGATCTAGGCAAGAAAAAATAAAGCATCATACCTTGTCATATTTACATAGGTAACTCAAAAAGGTCCCCCACTCTGTCTGCTCATGTAAGTTATCTGGATCAGGAGTTAGTGCAAATTGGGGAAATTTAGAGAGACCGTGTATCTTCTTTTTGGAAATTTCACATGTTAAGCTCAATTCTTGTGGCCTGCAAATATTTTCAGGTCAAACTATCACACCATAAACTTCATTTACCTTATCAAAATAACAGTTAATAAAAAAAATTCCTTAGTTTTCTTAATAGTAACAAATAAAATACAACTTCAGAAGAATAAAATACATACAATTTAACCGGCGAGTCTAGGCACCTCGTAGTGCATATAACTTTTTTATCTTTCTTCAGAACAAGGGACATCTCATCTGCATGTCAATAAAATAAAAATGAATAAATAATAGTTACAATAAATAATATATTATTAATAAATAATAAATAAATATAAAATAAAGTAAAAAGATAAAAGGATAAAATTATAAATATATACTTAAATATATTAAATAATCATTAATTTTGAGTTAGACAAAATCACAGAGTTAGAAAACTGTACAGAAGAGAAGATAAAATTTTAAATATTCAAATAAATATATTAGATGTTTATTGGGGAACAAAATCATAAATCGGTAGACAAATTTGAGGGGCACGCGGTCCCCTCACCTCCTAAGAAAATCCACCATGATATGTATTTAAAAAGTCAAAATCTCAAAAAACTAATAACCGGTCCTTTTGCCCTTTCAAACTACTAATAAACAAATGCACCTCTTTGTGCAAACACAAATTTCCCTATCACAGTGGAGCTAACCACTGCACTCATCTTAGGTTATGAAACGCCCATGCACCATTTACTCACATGCAAACCTCCTTTCAACTTCCGAAATACAAATACACAAAAACAAGAACAAAAAACGCGATTAACTCCAACGTGAATATGCAACACGCAACACGACCTAAAAATTTTGAAATCAGGGGAACAAAAACTGAAACTTGTAGTATTGCAAGATTAAATGATAAAGAAACGTACTCGCGAGGTAGAGGAAGCGCAGGAATAAGAAAAGACCGATGAGACGAAATGGTTACTTGTGAGAAACAGAGAGTGGAACGAGGCAGTATATTTTATTCGGTAACTCCTCCCTCCTTTGTATATATATGTCTTTCAAACTTAAATTTTTTTAAATTAAAAATATATATTCTTTTTTTAATTCTAATAAAATAAATGCCAGTATTCTTATTTTAATTCTTTTTCTTTTTCCGTCCAATATAAAATACATATACAAATTATTCAATGATTTAAAATTAATTAATATAATTTATAAATTATAAATAAATAAAATAAGAAATTCAACCTTTAATATATATATATATATATATATATATATATATATATATATATATATATATATATATATATATATATATATGAGAGAGATGCAGCAAGTTTTTAAGTAAGTTAGAAAAAAATAGCATTGTATGAATCATCTATTTATCTATCTAGCATTTGTTTGGTAACATTGATATAAAAAGAAGACAAGGAAATGGAAAAAGGAACTAAAACAAAAGAATGATTTAAAAAACAAAAAGAAATACATAAAAAATGTGTATTTCTCACGCCTTTTTCATTATTTTTATGTGTTTTTCTACTCTCCATAAACTCGCTGGAAAACATTAATGTAATTTTTAATTAATTCTGATTTCTTAAAAATATCAAATTTTTATTGATTAAAATGAATATTAATATTTTCTATATTAATTTAAAATTTATCATTGCCCAATAAACTGTTTCCATTCTCATGAAACGTCATTGTTATTTTTTATTTTCGTATGAGAATTCTCCATTCTCTTTCTAATAGCAAATGTTAACATTTTTTTTATGTTTGTTTTATTCTTTTTTTTTTGTTTTATTTTACTTTCTAAGTGTATTTTCCTTCATTCTAGAACAAGTTTTAAAACATATATTTTTTAAAAAATCTTGATACTAGAGAGTTATTTGTGCAAAGAAATGTGATTTTTCATTAGCATTTGTTTTCTTATTTTGATTTTGAAAAACAAAAGTGACGAAGTTACCACTATTCCTTTATCAAAAAATCTTATTATACTTATTTAATCTATGAATTTGTACCTTTGTCTCAACCCTCATCATCTTTAAACATATCTACCAATGCTTCGTCCAATTCATATGAAACAAAATACATAGATCGTCCTATTACACGTCACATTTATCTCAATCAAGCACACCTAGAAATGTTTCGTCTAAGCAAATGAAATAATACTTTCTTAAAAAATATTGATGTAAATCATCCAATGATATATCATACATGACACCAAAACAAGAAAAAAACCTTATACTTAAATGACTTTTATTATAATATAAATAATAATTCACGCTCTAAAAATGTTCACCAAATTCATTGATTTTGTATTATAACTGTGAGATGTATTTGAAAACTCTTATTTCGATTCTATTTTATTATCGTAAACTTCAAAAGACATTATATAACCTTAAATAAATAAGAACTGATTTCCTAAGGTACCATCGTTTTTTATTAATATTATATATTTTCAATCTATTTCTGATTATTCAATATTTATAAAGTTTTTTCTCATATCTCTTCCCCACTTTTCTTAAGCGGATTATATTATTTTGGCCATAAATGATTTCATATATCATGCACGCTTTTAATGCATATTTTTTCAGAATTGGGAATTTGAAATATTTTCTTGGTTTTAGCATAGTAAGAAACAAATCTGGAATAATGATGAATCAAAATAAATATGTATTACAAATATTGACCAAAATAGGTCTTTTATGATGCATATTGGTATCTCACGTATAAGACTAGACATCACATTCTCAAATACACCAGTTGAGCCAACAATAACTAACTCAGATACAGTTTGAATATCCTTCGCCATAAAAAAAATTGATTCGTGTATTTTTTTTCAAATATTATCCACTCCAGTTAACGACACAATGACAATGATTGAACATCATGTATATAGAAATTAGGAGATAAATCACAGGATGGTATATATCTTGATTCTTCACTCATTCACACACATATATATATATATATATATATATATATATATATATATATATATATATATATATATACTTTTATTGCAAGATCCAAAATTTCCTTTTAACAAACCAATTATGTTATAATGCAAGAACTAATTTGTTTTACACATTACAAATACCCTAGTATTCTACAAACATGCAAATTGAA